CGTAACGGTGACGCAACCGGATTGTAACGGTAGTAGCAGCGGTTACTACCGCTAGCGTTGCTAGCAACACAGCGCCAGGCAACAAGGGTGCCTATTACGTGGCCGTATTGTCCGATCGAAGCTACACAAGGAGCAGCGAAGGCTATTCACAGTCAGTTGTACTGTGACAGTCGCCGAGTGCGTTATCAACGACTTCTCAGTTCGCAAGTTACGAGCTACAGCCGCGTGTGCGATAACCAGTGATAACCAGTCATATCTGGAGTGTGTAATTCAGGGAGACTTGTATAGCTCCCGCATTATTAGTACGTGAAGACTCTCGAAGAGAGTGTTAAGAGATTAATGCGATTAGGGTTATAAAGTGTGAAACCACGCAACTGTGTGATAATTAATTGTAGCCGTTAGTTGTAGATTGTTCAATAAACCAATTAACCATCTCTACGGCGTCTTCGGTAACGTAAACACGTTACAATATATATATAGACATTTATACAATGTCTTATCTTAAACACGTAAACAATTAAGTGTTTTGCTTATAATATCATATTACATATGACAGGAACGGCGTACAGTGAATGTTTTTAGTTGAAAATTCAAATTTTATTCGTACGGATGAATAACATCGTTTTGGTTTTCTCATATCTTCTTGTATATGTGACTGAGAATGACAGTATTTTAAGAACATGAGTTTCACGATGGGGACATCGGTCCTTTTCACAGCCGTAAATAAATCTTGTGAGATTACCAAAATGTACGTTTTCAAGTTAAATTACATTCATATATATAGATATTTATACAATATCTTATCTTAAACTCGTAAACAATTGAGTTTTTTGCTTATAAAATCATATTACATATCACAGGAACGGAGTACAATATATGTTTTAGTTGAAAATGCAATCGATTTATTCGTACTGCTGAATAACATCGTTTTGATTTGCTCATATCTTCTTGTATGTTTCTGAGAATGGCAGCATTTTAAGAACATTAGTTTCAGGATCGGTACAACAGTCTTTTAACACAGCCGTAAATAATTATTGTGAAATTTCAAAAATGTACGGTATCAAGTTAAATTACAGGGTCATTCAAAAAGAATGAACCGATTTTATTATGCAATATTTTATTAAAGGAAAGTAATACAAAACTCCAGCCAAGTCACACGTATTCTACTAACAATCAACTTTTATTTCCTGTCCTACAAGTGTTCAATATGGCCACCACGTGCAGCACGGGCAACATCCATGCCATAAGAGAATTCCTCCCAGCATATCACGATGCACTGAGTTAATCGCTGTTGTTATTCGGTGTTTAAGGTCATCGAGGTTAGTGGGTAGCGGTGGAACATAAACGTGATCTTTTACATATCCCAACAAGAAGAAATCACACACGGTGAGGTCTGGGGATCTCGCAGACTAAGCACAAAAAGCAAGGTCTTTGGCCCCCTTCCGACCAATCCATCGCTGGGGCACTTTTTCATTTAGAAAAGTTCGGACCATCGGGTGCCAATGGGGCGTTGCTCCATCTTCTTGAAAAATTAAGTCATGCGAATCTGCTTGCAGTGAAGTGAAGAGCCAGTTTTGGAGCATATCGAGATAGGTTTGTCCTGTAACGGTGTTTCCTTCAAAGAAGAAGGGACCATAAACCCTGACCTGAGACACAGCACAGAAGACGTTCACCTTAGGGGAATCTGTTTCGTGCTCTACTGTTTCATGTGGGTGCTCTGTTCCCGAAATACGCACATTGTGACAACTGACTGTGCCGCTCAGGTGAAAAGTCGCTTCATCACTAAAAATTAAACGTGAAATGAAGGTTTCGTCTTCCATCATCTCCAGCATCGAATCGCAAAATTCCATTCGCTTCCTTTTGTCATTGGTAAGTGCCTGGACGAGCTGCAATCTGTATGGTTTCAAATGTAGACGTACTGTTAGCACACGCCAGACAGTGGATTGAGGGATCGCAAGGCCACGGCTACCTCGATTTTTTTACTTCCGCGGGCTCCTCTCAAACGCAGAACGTATTCTCGCCACTTGTTCCTCCGAGTCTCGTGGTCGTCCTGGACTTTTTCCTTTACACAGACACCCACTCTCTTGAAACTGTCGAAACCACCGTCGAATGTTCTTAGGACAGGGCGGATTAATGCCGAATCGCCTTCGAAAAGCACGGTGCACCGTGACAACCGAATTTGTTTTCGCGAACTCGAGAACGCAGAACGCCTTTTGCTGAGGACTCGCCATTCCGAGGGTAAACGAACAACTGAACGTTGCCGGAAGAACGACGCGACTTCAGCGCCCCTGTGGCAGCCATTCACAAACTTAGATCATTCCTCTTTCAAATGGTCACTGACTCATTCCATGACGATGCTTGAGAACTGAAGCAATGCGTCATGAAATCGGTTCATTCTTTTTTAATAACCCTGTACAATGAACTCATACTTACAAGCAATATGGCACTATCATTGATTTAAACAGTCGGTATAGCGACTGGTTACGAGGTGGATGACAGAGGGATCGGAGTTCGAGTTCGGGAAGGGCCAAGAATTTTCTCTTCCCGTCGTCCAGATCAGCTCTGGGCTCACCTAGCATACTATCCAGTAGGTAGCGGGCGATCTTCCTCCTGGGTTAAAGCAGCTGGTGCATGAAGCTGTCCACTGACCTGCAGCTAGTACCGAGGTCAAGAAAATATGGTCCTATATATTCATTTCCACATATGCCTTCATGGTAGAGCGCTTAATTAGTTAAGCACAGGGACAACTTTACAGTTGACCATTAAACACGCACTAGGGTTCTAAGTCTTCAGTAGTCATATCCTGGTAACGGAATTAAAGCAGGCTCACTGTGATTAAATCACACGCTAAATCTTGACAGGTTGACTTCTAATTGACTTCTAACTACTAACTTCCTGTGGCAAGTCCTACCAACAGCTGACTGAATTCTCATTCTCGTACTCTCTGTTGTGCTCCGTTGTATTCCCATTCTCTTGTTTCTGACTTCCTTCAAAACTGTCTTCCTTATAGATTCACGGCATGGACCTCACAGCACTGAAAGCACATGTCATGTCTCAGAATGTGTGTCTATTGACCCTCTAACTAGCGCTGGGCATGGTGCGGACCACATAAAAAACACTTCTTCTGTTGTCCTTTATAACCATTTGGCACGGACCACAGCAGAAAACAAAATCTGTCTATTGTTGTATGACCTGTTACCACTGAGTGGCCTAGCAAAGGGTCAGTATATAATCGTATTGATATATGTCTTGTAGTAGTAGTAGTGCCCAACTGCTGGTCTTTGCACCTCGACCTTCAATGATCTATTGTGCGTTTTATGTTACCTAGGTCAAGACACTTCTGACTCCTACTCTATACTTTTCCATTCTGCCTCCAAAATCACAAATTTTCAGGAAGTTGCACAGTAACTCACTGACCTTTCCTTATTCTATTATTCATATTCACTTGTGTTTGAAAGTCAAGGTACTGTGGAGGCCAAGGAAGAAAAGGAGTCATTGTTAGAAAGGCGCCCAATCCAGCAATGGGGAAAATTAGCAGTGAGGTGAGTACAGATGTCAAAATGGAAGTGTGGCAGGGCTCCACCTTGTTTGAAAATGAAATCCTCACCGTCTTTCTGTAATTGTGATATTAGACACGGCTGCAGCAGGTCCAGGGCTGAAACCTCTGTTGCATCGTCACAGTTGACCCAGTTTTGGCAAATTCCAAGACAGAATGCTTTCTTATTCCCTGACCTCACCATGTTTCATTATTACTGTCCTCTAACAGTGAAACCTGCAACTTCACCATAGCACCTATTACCCAAACAAACTTGGAGAGATTCTCTACATACTGATGTGCTCCTTTCTGCTGTGTCTGTCTTGGTTGTTGCACTCCTGAGTTTGGAATTTCTGGAGGGACTTAGGAATTAGCATGTATATGCATGTTTCGTAATTTACACTATTCCAATCAAATCTTGTTTGTAAATGTCACAATAGTTGCAGAATATGGGGATGTAATGTATGTTACTTTAGTACTTCAGGGGGATGTGGTAGTGCGTGAATCTGCCAAAACAGGCCACCACCCCAAATCACCTCAAGCACAGCATAAATTTGATTCCCTGTCACTGGTTTCCAAGCTGCAAATTATATTTTTGGTTTAAACAAAACCTCCAGTCATTAATTTAGGAATTGTTCTACATAATGATTTGTTCCTTATTAATCCTTAGGCGACGAACAGCATTTAAAGTAAACCATACTGGGTGGACGGAGGATATTTAAATTTTCTTACCAGAAATGCACAACTTTTATAAATTCGCTGTAAAAGCAAAGAAAATTGGAATTTCAAAGCGAAAAATTATCGTCATATTCAGAAAAGAAAGTAGTTTTAAATTTTACAAACAGGACGGTGATATTTCAATGTTTTCGTCTGAAGATCACAATTATTTTTTTGAAAAATGGCATAAAAATTTAGAAATACAGAATTTAAAACCAGAAATGAACACTGTGTTCTTTATAAAACATAACTTTACTATTAAATACTATACTTTTAATTAATCATGCAGAATTACCTTAGAAATTAAGTTGTGTGTGAGAGGCTTCAAAACATCTGACCACAGAGCCCAACATCACATTCCTGACAGTGAAACCTCGAGTCACTCATCCATCCATGTTTGCTGCATACCACAAACCTCCGTGGCATTGATTTCTTCCCAGAAAGAGCAACCCTTTGACTGAAATGTCTTTCATGTAACCTCGGTATGACATTTTGTTCCGCCCAGCCACTTCGTACTTTCCGCTCCGTATTGGCGAACTGTTATGGACTGGCATATGCACACGCTCTTATTTGTTTGCTAGCTCAGAACAAAGCCCCATTCATTCTGTAGTCAAAGCTATGTGCTTATCTAAGTGCCGTATCAGTTTTTACCAAGCTAATCGTATGTGTGTAGGAACAATAATCACGACTCTAAACACAGCCTGAATATATTTCCTCTGGACAGGTTGTATAGACATTTTAGCAAACATAGGCTTCAAAGACCGTACATGTATTTATGTCAAAAGTTACAGCTACATTCCATGTACATAATACAATTTTCAGTAGAAAACACACATGTTCTTCAGTCGAAGTCAGAATTAGAGGGCATGTGATGCCGCATATATGCAGCAATCGGCGACACTTAAAAAAACAGCCGCGCCACATATAAGCGGCAATCATTGTGAAAGGGTTAAATATGAGTTTTAAAAATGTGTATATATATATATATGTTTCTTTTTTTTTTTTTTACAGTAGCCCACATCCACCAATGACAGTTTCATCTGTCTCCCCTTTCAAAATCTATCATTAATATTGCTTGCTCTTCATCATCGTTATTATTCGTAAATATACCAGTCGTCCAGCTCCTTGCCAGTCACTATACCAACTAAGCTATCCCAGCTCATAACCACTTCCTCTAATTATGAAATGATAAAATGTCTGCCAGTGTAATGACAACCAGTCACCAAAGACAGGAATAGTCAACTCTTGAGAATCTGTTTATATCAGCATACTTCAGGCAATGGACAGTGTATGTCATATTGTTGGTATATGAATCAGCCACGGTTACAGAGCTTCAGAGTTTCGTTACTAGCTCACTGGTCACTTACAGGAACTCCATAGCTTAGCAGTACAGTGACTGAATCTTGCTTCCATTACTTTTGTTTCTCTGCATAGGCAATTAGGCAAGAACGCTATTCACATTTACATGTCATCCCCCAAGTCAGTAATTTTGACAAAATAATTACTGCAATATGTTCGCTTAATATTAGTGTTTCAGTCTCATCATTGTTTAAGGGGGTTCTAATTTTGATCTGATTTAGTGTGTTTGTGGACTTGAAAACATTATTTTGTTTATAATAAATATGTTGGTTTCCTGTGGTATTCACTTCTGTATATACAGCAACAGTGTCTACCTGGCAGTTGTTCCTGCATGTTGATTAATGTGGGAACACCTCCCAGGGTTTGGACATTATAGCTTATAGTTGACCGTATGCATATGCACGTCATATGATTCAATGCTTTCTGTTTCTGGTGGCTACTTGCCAGGCAGTGATCGTGTGTATGTGGACAGGCCTTATGCTTGGAATTGCCAGAACAAACCCACAACCAGCAAGGATGTAGCTAAGGTGGCGTACAGGTAAGGCACTATGTTTGTGTTGCCACTTTTCAGCTTCCACTGATTCAAATCACCTAGTGCACATACCATAAGTGTTTGGATTGAATGGAGGTTTGAATTGTGTCAGTTACTAAGAGCTAAAATTGAGGGCGTCTGTTCTCTTTTGTGTAACATATCACACTTTATGCTTTCTAATTCATTCCACATTTTTCACAGAGTCATTTTGTCTCATGAAAGTCAAACAGCATTTCCCTAGTCATGTGGTACAAATATGTTTGAGCCAGAGAAACAGTGACCATTTCTGCTGTCACTGAATTGGTGATGGTGCATTGTGCTGTATGTGCAGTTTACATTGTCTGTACTGATGGCTGTTTCTTTATGATGCAGCCTGTGTCTGACCACCATGTGTCTCCAGTACCAGCCAACAGCAGTAGCCTGCTTCTGCATACACCTTGCATGCAAGTGGTTCAACTTGGAGGTGAGTTTGCTGCACAGCTTCAAGTGACTGTGTGTAACATATTTTTCTTATGCTGTAGGCATAAATTATCCCATCACTTTGTTAATTTTGTGCAAGTTTCGATCCACTCTGTAGGTTAGTGTACTGACTCCAGCCTTGGCCTCATTGTGTGTATTGTATATATTTTATATATTTCTAAACATTGCCATTAATTTCTGTCATGCCAGGTTTTTCCATTGGTAAATGAATGAAACAGCTTTACAAGACATTGAAAGAGTCTAAGGACTGTTCTGAAGACATAAATGAGATTTCTGTCTTTCATTGTTCAGCTTCAAGCACTTTATAGGTAAAGCAAATGTTAAATGTTTGTAATTGTTGAAGTTACACGTGTTACACAGTCATCTTGCCTAAGGGACTGGCTAGGCAGTCACCGTAGAGCCGGGCTGGGGACAGACCCAGTCTTCTCGCTTATACCTGACACCTCTATGTCCCCATACAGATGACAGAGCCCCTCCAACCTCAGCTTTCAGCACCAGAGGGTGAGAAGCCCCGTCCAGCCTCGTACACTCCAGGCCGACCTAGACCTCGCCATGGAAGGAACCAGAGCGGACGCACCCAGATGCAGAGATCTCGGGGATGCGACTGAATCCTCAGGAGGCCACCGTCCGATCAGACCTACTGACACAGCCCCTCCCTCCTGACCGACTGTCCAACTACCACACACCTGTGGACATTGCCAAAAAAAAGAGCCAACCGCACTGCATTTCAGGTAATAAGAGTCAATGTCACTTGTTCCACTCATGCACGGATTTCGAGAAACGCCGTCAAGACCACCAGAAAGGCATCAGAAGACGTGACACTTATACTGAGTGATGCAAACAATCCACCTCAATGACCACCCCAGTCCTTACTACGGTTCCAACCCCTCATACCTTAGGATCTGGCCAAGACCGAGAAAGCAGTCTCCACCGGCAGCCAGCACCTCGCCAGGCGGCAGGTTCTCGGTGGAAGCCCCCAGATTCGCCGGCAGGTGCTCCAGGCTCTGTGCCGAGACAGAGCATGACCACACTGGCACGACTTGGTAGCTCAGTGAAGAGGATCACGGGGAATCACAAATGGAATGGTTTGGCAGAGACTGGTTTTCAATTCCTGTCGGGATCGGGGGATAGCTCAGTCAACATAGTGTAACGAATGGTGAACGAGGGAAATGGAACAGCAGACGCAGGGACCGCATGCCTGACTTCAGGCTGGTAGCTCAGTCAGCTCAGTGGCTGCGCCCGGCAGAGCCCCCCTCCCCCCAAGAGTTTCAAAGTCAGCTACCACACACGTACGGTGTTTGCCTACAGAGCAGCACAGTCGGTGGACTCAACTGTCGCCGCCTTGCCCACAAGCAGAGGTCCATGTGACAATGACTGCAAAAGGGCCGCCCCGGACAGAGAGCAGCCTGGCCACGACACCCTGCTCTCTGGTAGCTCAGTCACCTCAGTGAGGAATACCACGGCACATGGAATGGCTTCGCGCAGGCTGTGGAACCCAGGTCAGCTATTCAATCCCCGGCGGCGATGGGGATCAGCTCAATGCTCGGATTCTGCGTAGAACAGTTGTGTTGCACGGCGGGAAACCGACAGCTTCTACTTCCATTCGTTTCCGCACAAGACTGGCATTGTAGCTCATTCGGCGCAGTGACGTGGACTGGCTTCAGTAGGAATTTAGCCCTGCTAACAAGTGCTCCTCATATTCGCTTACCCCTCCCCACGGGCTCATTTATCAACTAGCTGCCTCTCCCGACCTTCAATCACTGCATTGCCATTAGCTTGGCCTCTTGCTTGGCGTGGTCACGATAATGTCGGGTGTAAACTGAAGTGCAAGTTCTCTAATGTGACTTTATATTTTTGTGTGTAATACAGTAAAACTTGGTTATAGCAACATCAGTTTCTGCGACACCTTGTCTATTGCGTCAAATATTCAATGGTACGAACTAATTCCTCATAAAGCAACTGTTTTTATAACTTGCTTAGTACGACATGCACAAATGCATCATCCTCGTATGTAACGTCATTTTCATTTCTGAATTTCTCTGATATCGTGGGAAAGTTCGATGTGTCTGCCCACCCTCACTTTCTCTACTTGCTGACGTGACTGTTCTGGAAGAATACGGCCGCGGGCTGCAAGAGGAGCGTGGGTTTTATGCGAAAACAAGGGTGTGGGGTGGGACTGCATGAATAGTGCAAGAGGACGCGGCAGGTTGTTAACTGCATGCCTTTCCTAGAATCTTGTCTAACAGGACCTCACATTGTCTACTTACCCTATACTGTTCCTGCCTAAACCCAGAGCAGTGCAGTAGCGAAAACATGGCAATGACAAGGAAAGTTTTAAGCATTGAAGAGAAAGTTAAAGTGATTCGTGAAATAGAAAATGGAAGGAAAAAAGCTGATGTATGCCGCGAACTTGGTTTGGTGAATTCTACAGTACAAATGATATGGAGAATCCATATTAATTCCACATTAATGTTACGTTAGTCTGTACTTAACTACGTATTTCACTAAAAAATGCAACATTTTAACTCGGTTTTTGGTAGATTTTTACGTGACTAACATAAGGCTACTGTGGAAGTGCCCATTTTGGTTACAACGACATTCGTTTATAACGACACTATTTTTAGGTCCCTTTGATGACGTTATAACCAAGATCTACTGTATATACAGTGATGTGTAGTGTGGTGTTGTAGTGTTTAAGGAGAATGTTAAGATTTCCATTCACCCACAAAGGATTCAGAAGTTTCCCCTCTTATGTACATACCTTGTTTGCATGAAGAATTCGTGCTTTTAAAAGGTGGTATGCTAAGTGAAACACATGTTGTCACTGGTGTTATGCTGGCAATCCTGTTCAATGACAATGTGTAAAATGTGCACAGTGGTGTGTAGAGTATGTGTTATAGCATGAAGAATGATGACAAGTGATTTGTAAGTTACAAGTGTATTTTGGTGTGATAGACAATGGATTGCATTCTTGCCATCTAATCTTCCAGGCTTACATGTGCTAGCAGGTAGTATACAGCATCAGAATAATTTTCTTCACATCTATTAATTTACTGGCAGGTCTACTGACTGCAAAGACAATGAGGTGTGCAGTAAAATGTATGCATTAAGAACATAGCTGTTTCTGTATGATCACAGTGAGGTGTGTGAACAGACTGGGATGGTGAGAGCTACATATGGGTGGGGATGTCTACTTCTCCCAACTTGTTGTGTATGTATTTCCCTGCCTCTTCTTATGAATATAAGTTGTTTATTGTAGTAAAAATGACATTTGTTAAATGAAAATTCATAAAGTGTGTGTTCATAAAACAGCGGATACCTATACATGATTGCAAAGTGAAGAACCAGTTAACATTTTACTTTGTTGGATTTAAGGTTTTCACAAGTGACTATGAAGAATTCCATCTTCCAAGATGCAATGCAATGTACCTGTGAAAGTCAACCAGTGTTTAAGATGAACACATTGGCTCCATCTTCAGAGTTGAAGAGCAAGCTAAGCAAGAAACCTGCAGCAAGCAACATTGGAGATATGTTTCTCTAAAACACTGGCTGACTTTCACTATATTATATAGCACTATATCCCAGAAGACAGAATTCTTCAGACCTTTCAGTGTTGTTGAACAGAACAACCATACTCGAAGGATCTTGAGTTAAGAGGACAATGAAGTGGGACCAAAATTTAAAATTGTGCAGGTATTGTAGTTAAAATTCTTTGCATACAATCCTAAAGCCACAGCATTAGAGTCATGGTAATGGTACAATATCATGAAATCAAGAGAAAACCAACCCCATCATCCACCAGCATCAGTCTTGAAATCAGAGGATTTGTTTATTATGTATGATGGATCCACTTTCTGTCACTATAGAAAAGAAAGCCATTCTGCTAGACATGTGGAAGTACCTACCAAATGAATACCATGACTTAAGGCTCCCACACACAGACGCGATACGATTTGGGACGATATAGCACTCGGGACGAAAATGGCTGTTTACCAAATGGACCGCGCACACAGACGCGACACTCGGGATCTTTGACACCCAATAACCAGTTGGCCATGACTCACACTCAATTAGTATCTTCACGTACGTGAAACAACATGGGTCGTGAAACGGAACAAATAATAGAGTTCATCAAAGAAAATGCTTTATTGTACGACACTCGTCATCCGATGTACAAGGATTCATGTGCTAAGGATAGAAAGTGGAAGGAATTGGCTGTTACAATGAACAGAGACAGCAAGTAGAAAAATCTGTATATATTTATATAGGGTTAAGTATACCGTAACTGCGGACATTCTTAATGTAGGCTATGCACCAGTTCCGTTCACTACCACGAATTCCAGGGGCAGTCATCCAGTTGAAGAACGCAACAAACCACTCTCTAATGGCACAGCTAACGTTTGCCACCCTTGGGAGACGTAAAGGTTGGATAGGGAACATTTTCCCTTCCAATGGCTGCACTCATAGCAGTTCTTCCCTGTACTTTCCATCACAGTTTTTGAGACGTAGAAAATTATGAAGCAAACACGCTGCTCATATAATGTGTTTTATATTTCCTTCTTTCAGTTCTATGGGTCTCAAAAAATCCTCCACTTCATGGCAAGAATAGGCCTCCACCAATTGGTATATTGTTTAGTGATATCTTGCCTGATAGCCCTCAGGATTTCATCAAACCTGTCAATATTCATCGTGAAATATATGTAGAACCGTTTTTCGTCCTTCAGGAGTTGGGGTATCAATGTATAAAACTCCTCCAGTTCCTCTCTTGACAAGTTTATATCATGAACCCAAGTGATTCGTCTCTTTCGCCTAAAATAGGAACACACGTAGCCATCACTTATACATACTTAATTAGAGACTCGTTATGGAATTGTAAATATTTGTACATATATGTGACATACTGAATATGTGGAGGAAAAGAACTATGCAGATTTAGTGTTCAGTAAAATACTTACTGGGATTCACCTTCATCTTCAGCAACAGCGACAGCTAAAAGCAAAACTCTTCCTCCAAAGACAGAGCCATGACTATTTACCGCTGCAATACAGCGCAGTCTACCTAGGCGATATACCGACTGCGATAATATCGCGTTCCTCGGAGTCCCGCGCCAGTGTGCGGACCTCCATTTACCGCAATGTAATTAGATATCGTCTCGTACCGTACCGAGCCGAGTATCGCGTCTGTCTGTGGGAGCCTTTCCACTGATGACTAACATATTATCTTTATGAAAACTTAGTAATATATAACATTGTTTCGTGTTCCCTGCAAACATTCATACTGTGTACAAAGGGTTGTATTGTTTCCTTGCTGTAAAAATGAGCACTATGTAATTTCTTTATGTGAGGTGAAATAGAGCATTCACTGTTTTTGCAGTGCCTTTTAACATTGTATTAAGGATTCTTTCCACCAAATACTTGACTTTTGTACTTTTAACAGAGGAATGTATTTTTAATATTATCCACATTGTAAAATTAAGTTTTATATTTTGTATATTTGGCACTAAACTTTGCCAACAAGTGGCGGTCGCTTGGTTGGTATAGTTCGCTTGCGAACAAAAATCACGGAGTTTTTATTTATTGGTAAAATACTTTGTTTAAACATAAGGATTGTGCGCAGCAGCTGTCACTGTCATTCCTTTTTCTTACATTTCCATGTGAACCATATAATTTAGTTTGTATGCTAAGTTAAGTGTAACATTTATTGTTTCGTACTCATTGTAAGGACAATATTTAGTTATATTAAAAATGTACTTTACATAACCTGTTGCTTTATGCATAGTGAAATATAACACTGTTCTGTATTGCTTCTAAGCATGTGGACTGTTTACAGAGGACTGTTTTTCTTACACTGAAACAATGTGGACAACTGATATTTCTTTTATTATGCACTGCAAAATGTGGAAATAAGTCCTAGCTTTGCCCCTCTCTAAACAGATTTTCTGAGTAGTGGGTTTGGAACAGGGTCCACTCAGCCTCATGAGGATAATTGTGAAGCTACTTCAAGGAAATAGTGGCTCCGGTCTAGAAAACGGAGATTAACGACCGTGGGTATCCGTTGTGCTGACCACATGACACCCTCTATCAGCAAAAGTTGGCATTAACTTCGCCGACAAGCAGCAGTCGCTTGGTCAGTATAGTTCCCTTGTGGACTACAGGCCACAGAGTTTGTTTTTAATTAATTATTTAAAATATTGTTATATATAGCACGTAGTTTTATTACCGCTGTAGCTTCAGCTTTTCAAATTGGGAAGGAAAACAATGTTTACGTCTAAAAAAAACTTCTTTTTTTTTTTTCATTTCCTCCAAGATGTGAGGAATGGCCATATGGTGTTATCTGAGGGACGTCCACAATTACAGTTGATATTAACACCAATTAAGAATTTCAATATAATTAAACAGAAAATAACTGAAAGCAGAGAACAACAAATAACCGTGTGATGAATCTAAGGCCTCACTAACATACGGTGTATCTCATTTTATTTTCAACTACTATGGAGATTACAGGGATATGTATGGTGCTGCTGTCTTGTGTCACTGAAGATTACTTATACATTATGTCCTAATTTGCTGTATCAAAATGATAATAAGATAAGATAAAGTTGTCCCTGTGCTTAACTAATTAAGCATGACAGCATGAATATGTATGAGAAAATGGATGTGTAGATCACGTGTTCTTGACCTTGGCACTATTTGGTGATGAGTGGTCAGCTTCACGCACCTGCTGCTTTACCACCTAAGTAAGAACCCCTCCCCCCCGGTACCCACTGGAGAGGAAGCTGGGTGATAATGGTGATAGCTATAGAAATAAATTCACTAATTTTTAGTGCCAAGAATTATGAATGAGGGCTTATGGTACCCCTTAGAATACCAGTACCAACTTAGAAATGGTCGGGGGGACAAGCCAGGCATCTGTCACCCCATGCCCAAGATTTTATAAAATGGAAATATATTAAATATTAATACAAAAAATTAAGAATATTTGTTCAACATCTTTCTTATCCTGAATACCCCAGGGAATTCAGGAACAATAATCTTAAGAACTTAAATGTAGGTTTGTAAGCATGTTTTCTGGCTGCCCTCTCTTGCAAAAAGTCATGGCAGAATCCATGGAGATATCCCCTCTCCTTTTTATGAAAGGTTCCAGTGTTCTGTAAAGTTTGAGAGTAACACTGATTATACTGTATTTTTTATTGTGATTTGATTTATATTACTTTCTTGCGAAGGGAACACTTCAAATGCTATGAATGGTTACCATAGTGCTTTCCAGTGAAAAGGTATAGTTACCACCACCAATGTGCAAGCTTGGCCTTGGCTCAGTAACTGCAGGAGATGGTGAGAATAGGTTTTCTACTAGTCAACCTGTGAGTTGGTGGTCAGCATGATCATTGTGGTAGCTGTGTGTCATGCCTTGGACTGGTGAATGTTTTTAGGTAAATTAAAAACCCAATGAAGTTCATGCTCCCAGACTAATGTTGGCAACAATATCTCTGATGCTGTCTTCCAATTATGAAAATTACGAGAACGTGTGGTCTCAAGACTTGTACAATTCCGTGAATGAACAGAGCTGTGATGTTCTAGGACATTTATAACTATGAAACTGTACATGTGCAAGAGCTGAGACAATATCTGATATTTTATGCAGCGTTTTCAAAACTAATGACTACAATTAGATTGCTTCATAATTCTCTGGTTCAACAGAATTTCCAGGCCAATTCTTAAGAATGTAATAATGCTTATGACAGGGACCTTTGTGATTAAGACAAGAAGCGAAAGTGTTGAAATTTTATAATTCTTCCATGCCTCAGAACATCAAATTTGGGCCTAAATATTCTTTGCATTTTCACAACAGACAATGTTCAAAAAAAAATTACAGCAAAAGCACATTGCTTCACTGACCAGTTCACCATACTGAAACTGCATACATTTAAGTGTGGGCTCATACAACTTCCCCCACTCCACTTTTTCTTCTACAGCAGCATATTCTAAAACACCTGACCCCAGTGAGGTACCCTGCGTAATAATCTGAACTGACAAGTTGCTAAACTGAGACATTTAAATTTGTAACAGGTATTAAAGGCGGACACTGAGACATCTGAAAAATGTACAAAGATCTGGATATGTCATTCTTTTATAGAAAAAGTCTGTAAGGATCCTGTGGTGTATCTGTGCATAATAATTTTCAAGAAAGTTGGAACTACTAAAATGTATAAGAGTACAAAATATAAATAACACTCTTCACAAGATATAATTACTACTCAAGTGTATCACTGATTTCCTACTAGATTCTACAGAGTGATTCATATAGAACCGGTTCGATGAAATGAGCTGTAATATAAAATATACCATACAGATATTAAAGTAATTTACACATATCTTATCTTGGATTGTGTGCCGTGATCAAAGCAGGTGTTGAAAGTGTCCGCCGTTTTCAAGTAGGCACTAGAAACACTCGCTGTTCAACAGTGTACTCCATGACTGCCGCCTGCACTCTGCAGACACGTTTTGGCATTGTCTTTCACCTTGCAGCATAAGGGCTGCCACTTGCTGGATCATGTGCACACCATTCGACTCAGCACGGCCCACGGATTATTATGTCGTAATTCTGAGCGGTTATATGCATCACCTGTGGAATTATTAGCAAATTCATCGGGCCAGTTCTATACGATTCACCCTGTACTTTTACATACCTGCCAAGCATGTTCATGGTTTGTGTTCACTCTCTTCATGAGGGTCCATGACTCTTCTGAACACGGCCAAAAATTTATTCCCTTTATTTCGAGTCACTTTCTGTCCTTCCTCTGAGCTCTCATATAGCTTCTCTATCACTGGATCTGAACTCTAAAACATAAAGGTGTCAATTACTCTTCTAGATAAAATGCTGGCTACTAAACTTTGTCCATAAATGACAATTTTCTCTGTAAAATGTACTTTACAGGCTTATCTGATCTCCACTGTTGACTTGACAAAATTCTGGATGATAAATGCATTATCAGTCCACCTCCAGATTTTCAACTGCTTACACAGCACCCAACCAGACTCTTATGGGCTACAAATTTAGTGTGTGGCAGAAGTTTTCTGACACAGGGTAGAGAAGAGTTAACAGATAAAACCCCTAAATAGAGAAAATGAAGGCACATGGTAGCGCAGTTGGTTGATGCACTATGCTACAAACCAGAAGGTCATGGGTTCGTTGCCTAATGTCACTGGATTTTTTCAATTTACCTAATCCTTCCAGCTGCACTATGGCCCTGGGATCAACTCAGCCACTAACAGAAATGAGTACCTAGAATCTTCTTGGGGGGTAAAAAGTGGCTGTCGTGTAAGGCTGGCAACCTTACAGCCATCTGTGAGGCAACTGTCTAGAAAATGTGAGAGCCTTGATGTCTCACAACCCTATGGGCCTCCAAAGCCTGTTACAGGGACACCTTTACCTTTAACCTTTAACCTTTAACGTCCAAATGACACATATATATGATGCAAGCAGGAACCGAAGTTGGCCAAATGACACATATATATGACGCAGAACACGTGCACCCTTTGGAAGTGCTGACAGTTTGACCTTGGGTTTGAAACCAAAACAAACCTACGTGAGGTCATGTCAGTGGTTCATTCCTTAGCTCTGAACAAAGAAATCGTTTATCTCAGTCCTGGTTTCGAAACTATTTATGTTTATATATGACTGTTTATGACCTGGTCAGCCAAATATAGCCCAGCTTTGTTCTGAGAACTGAAGAGGAAATATTCGTCGGTGCTTGCAGATCAGTGCTTCCAGAGCTTTCAAGGAAGTGTGACATATTCAAGGATTGGTTTTCAGTGGCGAATTATCAGTTAGGAAGTCAGTGTTGGATTGTATAATATTTCTTTTTCACTTAAAAAGTTAGTGTCAGACTGTGATATATTTCTTTTTATATTATTTTGTGTCTCGGAAGAGGTATAAACCCACTGAGCCAGTATTACTTTGTGACTAAAAGGCATCTTCGTCACTGTGACTTTCCGTATCAGTGTCGGACTGGCACCTTTTTGACTACTATTATAATTATTATTTTTTATTGCTAGTGGGGTGGGACTAAGTCCATTGTACTGCTGCCACTTCTGGCCTATTATACCATACTATTACAGTTACTTTGCATCACTATTTTGTGAGTCTTTGTCAATCAACATAATTTATTCGCTTTTGCTGGAAACCCCGCCCCCCAAGATGGAACCTCAAAAACGTGCCCGATATTCCAAACTTCTCGATGCAGAAGAACTGGAGGAAATATTGATGAAAGAGGACTCTGATGAAGAGCTAGAAGATATCAATGAGTTCATTGAACCTCGAGCAAATATGTTGTTGTCATCATCATCATCATCATCATCATCATCAGACGATATTGGGGAAATGGAAATTAGGTTTCGTGATAGAACACCTGGGGATTCGCCAAAGGTACTGGACTTCACTGGTCCTCCAAGTGGAATCAACAGATCAGCTGCTCCCAATATAAATACAAAGTCCTCTCCTTTTTCCATTTTCAGTCAGTTTTTCCAACAAATATTCCAAATCTTGTTACAAGAAACCAACAGATATTTCCACCAATTTATGGCATGCCAAGATGCTCCAGGCCTTTCTGTTCAACTGCCTGACGTTACAATTGAAGAGATATATAACTTTTTGGCAATAATTATCCAAATGGGCCACAATCAACGGGACACCCTCAAAGATTATTGGTAAAGAGATGAGCAATACCACACTCCATTCTACCGTAACACCATGGTACGAGACCGTTTCTTCCATATTTTGAGAATCCTACATTTTGAAAATAATGAGGCTCCTCCAAATCGAAATGACCCAAAGTATGATAGGCTCTGGAAAATTAGAAAAATTTTTGACAATCTCAACAACAAATTCTGTGAACTTTACAATCCAGCAGAACGTCTTGCTGTTGATGAAGTCATAGTGTTGTTCAAAGGAAGAGTGATTTTTCGTCATTATATTCCAAAGAAACGCAAGAGATTTGGTATAAAAATTTACAAGCTTTGCGATTTTTTTGGGTATACTTATGACATGACAGTTTATTTGGGCAAACAAAGGCAATTTGCGACAGAAGAAATTACATCGACACGTGGCATTGTTCTCCAGGTAATTCAAAGAGTAGAAGGCTTGGGACACAAAATTTACATGGACAATTATTTCGGTCCTCCTGCTTTATTTGACGATCTTTTACACAGGAAAATAAATTCATGTGGCACCGTTCACAATGATAGGCATGGAATGCCACAAGAAATTCAGCCCAAGTCAATGAAATTGAAAAAAGGGGATATTGTTACAACAGTCAAGGGGCATCTAAGTGTTGTTCATTGGAAAAGCAAGCGTGATGTGTATGTTCTGACAAATTTGCACCCTCCTCCATTGGAAGCAACTTTTGAGATGAATCTGGCCATGCTGTCAAACCCCATGTAATTGAAGACTACAATGCACACATGGGCTTTGTTGATAAATCTGACAGGATGGTAAGCAGTTATGGCATTGCTAGGACATGGAAGTGGACAAAGAAATTGTTTTTCCACCTTCTAGATATGACTATTCTAAATGCATTTCTATTACACAAGTCATGTGGTGGAAAAATGACACACGAGAAGTTCCACAAAATATTGGTGTGGGATTTGATTCTTCAGTCACTTGAGGCGAATATCACAGTCAGTGGCATTTCTCGGGGGAGGCCAAGTTCATCTGGGACCCAACTGAGTCGACTGGAGGTGAAACATTCACAACACTGGCCAATCAAAGGAAAACAAAGATGCCGTACTTGTTCTCAGAATAAGAAGCGCAGAAGCACGCTCTACTACTGTAAATAGTGTGACATTGCACTATGTGTGGTGGATGGCTTCAAGAAGTGGAACACGCGCGTCAGAGTGTGAGTTATCGTAACTGTGAAGTGACACAGTTCAAACTTGCATACAGTCTGAACAAAATATTATTCTATATAGTGTGATTATATTTACAATATCACCATGATTCAAGGTTGAAGAAAAAACAATGGGTAAGTCCTTTGGACTTTCATAACATAATATAGATTATATTTTGCATTTCATGACAAAATATTCACAGTTAAATTTCATTTGTAAAACTTAATCTTTTATGTATAGTGTAACATGTTGCGCGACTGAGAACCCCCCTCCCCCCTCCTCTCCGCGGTAACGTAGCGCTCCCCGCCACTCCCCTCCGCGGTGACGTCACGCGGTGACGTAACGCGCAACGCTAACGTAACCGTAATCAACGTCCTACTGTGACGTGGCACTCATTACGCCACCGGCAAGCACTGCAGCTATATAAGTGGATGCACAGTGCGTATCGATCAGTTCGAGTTCGAGTTCCAGTGTGGCCATCGCCGAAGATAGTTCCGAGCAAGCTTACGAGAGCGTGTTATCAACAGTTCTCCAGTCAGCGGACTATAGTTGGAGTATAGCAGCCGTCGCGGTAAGAAGATCCGGACGTGTGTGCGATTGTGTAATTGGGAGCGTGTGATACAGTGATACAAAGCTCCCCTACTGTCAACGTGTTACTACTGAAGACAGAGTGAACTGATATGCGCATAGGGTTATAAGTCGTGAAACCCCGCAACAGTGTTAACAGATTAATGCGATTAGGGTTATAAAGTGTGAAACCCCGCAACTGTGTGATAATTAAGTGTAGCCGTTATTTGTAGATCGTTAAATAAACCAATTAACCATCTCTACGGCGTCTTCGGTAACGCAAACACGTTACAATATGTAGAAAATTTTATTGTCTTTCGGGTTCTTTTTAGTTCATATTTCTATGTTGCATAGAACAGAAAAATGCATTTTTTTCTGCAAGTTTGCAATGATAATTATTTAGGGTGATTTAAATTCCGGCCATACAGGGCTGCTGGCAATTTAAAAGTTCGTACGTTAGAGGCTAAGTAGAAAGAATAACAGTAACAGTGAAGATAATTTACATATCAATTTTACCTTTCATTCTGTTAGTAAAGGAATTGAATTTAAATATAACAATTATATCTACCACCTCTGTTCCCTTTGCATGTACTTACAAATATATAAACTTGCATTTAAGGATTTAAGAGTACTTGTCAATCCTGGATTAATATGAAAGGAGTTTTCTGCAGACTGGTCCTCTACATACCTCAAACTGTATTATAAAAATGATAAGCTAAAGTTCTCATTGTTACTAGAAAGTCTACAGACATTTATTAACAATTTTATATGGTATTAAAATAGAAGTTGCATCATAATCACCCACACTGAACATTTACAATTAAGGGTATATGAAATAATTTGTCAGATATATGTGCAATTTATAATAACAGCTTCATCCCTCAATTTCTGAGGGATGCTGTGAATGACCCCAAAATAATGCTTTATCACAATTTAACTAGTCACATTTTGAAATCACCAAAAGGACAGAGAAGAAGAGTTAGTAAAGTGGAACACAAACTAATCACTCACCAAAAGAAAAAGAAATCAGTAAACATAAAACAAGATACAATGTAATAGAATGCTAACTAGAATTTGGGGACTACCAGGGATGTTTGGATTATTGAGAAAAACTTGTTTATATGCTTAGGATGAAAGGAAAGCACGTTCATCATGCCCTCACTGGTTTACTCCCGAGGAAAGTGTCCCCAGTACTTATTTGATAGGAGGCTGGGTGGGCCCTATACATATGTGGTGCTCGATTCTGGGAGGCCAGCTCCTGCTTCTGCTAAGACTGTGAACACGGATATTTGAACTTCATTTATTGAACTTTTATAAAGACGAATAGTTCTCAACAAAACAGAACTTATAAAAATCATAAAATTAAGCTCTGTACTCACCAGTTCTTCCTTTTCTAAACGAACAAATAGAGGATGCTCTACAAAATGTTTTACCATCCAGTCATGGAGGTCCTTTACATCTGTTACAGTGTAAACAACAGCCTAGAAATGTAAAAAAAAGTTCCATCAAATTATCAGGGTTTTCCATGAAAACAAAAAATAACAAGCTCCAATGAGCACAGGCTTCCTTGAGAAGCTAACTGTTGTTCAGCTGCTCAAAGAATTCCACTGATGGTTTGTTACCACGTTCACAAGAGCCTGGCACTGGCCTATATCCTAAGATGATGTGGTATACATTTATACTGACATAAGGGTGATGAAATAAAAAGCAGAACTGCTTTAACACCACAAAAAAAAACAGAAAAAGAAAATTGAAGTATGATAAGATGAACGAGTTTCCTTCTTTCTAATGACACTGCTAACAGCATGTGACAAAACAAAGTGATATGGGACTTACGACTATTTTAATGAAGACAGATTCTGATAAGAAGCCAAAGAAGCATTCAGTCATTTGTTTTTGACACTGAAGGCACTTCACCTATAGAAAGTGATCACTGGATGTCTCTAAAGTATGCTTATAGCAACAGCATATCTATGAATTAACAGAATATTCAAAAAAGATAAAAGATCTACAAGACATGCAGGATAAGGTTTTACAATTCATGTCTGTACTGACACATTCTAAAGAATGTGTGCAGTGAATATCACCACAGCATCTGCTCACAGTGCTATACACAAACTGATATTCTGCAAAATTTCCATGAGCCTTTGGTTTGAAGTATAAGACTTTTGCTGTGTTCATTTGAAATGACCCTTGAAATGTATATCCATCCAAAATTCTTAGAGTACAGTGAAAGTGTGCCCTGGATTATCCAGGGCACACTTTCAGTTTTGCAGATAAGCTGAAGGACTTTAGAACCCCATAATTATTAGTTCCAGCTTCTTGCAATGATTAAGTGTTACCCATTACAACTGTTTCAGCAGTATGTATCAGTGATGCTTTACAATGATTTGCAGCAGACTGTATGTTATCTCACCTTGCTGAAATTTTGTAATTTCACTGCTTTTTGTGATGGCCTACTACAGCCGAACAAGGCTTTTATTTTCGAGAAAGGACCATATATTTTACAAAGTGAGGTGGAAAAAGCTATCAAGGAAATGAGGAAGGGAAAGGCTACAGGAGATGATGATGTACCTGGAGATGTGCTCAAGTTACTGGGAGAAGGTGGTTTGAAAACACTGACAAAACTAATGAACACCATATATGAAAGTGGAGAGTGGCCCAAGGACTTTACAGAAGTTACAATGATTGCCTTAAAGAAAAAGACAAAAGCTACAAAATGCAGCGACCATCGCACAATAAGTCTTATTGCACATACAGCAAAGATAATAGCAAAGATACTTAAAAGAAGAATTGAAAGGAAAATAGAGGATGTACTTGGAGAAGATCAGTTTGGATTTAGAAGAGGAAAAGGAACCAGGGATGCAATTGGGATGATGAGAATTATAGCGGAACGAACTTTGGAGATAGATGAAGAACTGTGTGTTTGCTTCATAGACTGGCAGAAGGCATTTGACCGGGTAAACTGGACCAAATTAATGCAGATCCTGAAAGAAACAGGTATCGATTGGCATGAAAGAAGATTGATTAGCAAATTGTACATGGATCAGAAAGTTAGAGTACGACTGGACAGGGGGGAGACAGGAAGTGTGCAGATTGGAAGAGGAGTTCGACAAGGATGCTGTTTATCACCAATTCTGTTCAACTTGTACAGCGAATGCCTTACCAAGGAAGCTCTGGATGGGCTCGGTGACTTCAAAGTAGGAGGGCAAATTATTCAAACTGTGAAATATGCAGATGACCTTGTGTTAATGGCTAAGGAAGAAACTGTGCTACAGGGCATGATTGATAGACTAATTGAAATTGGAAGGTGCTATGGCATGGAAATGAATGTGGAGAAAACAAAAGTAATGAAAATTTCGAGACAACCAACCCCAGTCACAATAAAGATAGACCAAAAACAAGTGGAGAATGTGAAATGTTTTAAATATTTGGGTAGCTTGTTAACAGATGATGGAAGGTGTACTTGTGAAATTAAATCCAGGATTGCCATGGCAAAAGCTGCATTTAGCAAGAAGAAGAATCTTTTTACCAGCAAATTGGACTTAAATTTGAGGAAGAAACTAGTGAAATGCTACATTTGGAGCATAGCTCTGTATGGGGCTGAAACATGGACACTTAGGGCAGTAGATCAGAAACATCTGGAAAGTTTCGAAATGTGGTGTTGGAGAAGAATGGAGAAGATCAGTTGGACCGATTATGTGAGAAATGAAGAAGTGTTAATTAGAGTCAGTGAGCAGAGGAATATCCTACATGAAATAAGAAAACGGAAGGCTAATTGGATTGGTCATGTTTTACGCAGAAACTGCCTTCTAAAAGAAGCTATCGAAGGAAAGATAGATGGGCGGATAGAAGTGACAAGAAGACGAGGAAGAAGACGTAAGAAGATGCTGGATGACCTTGGGGACAGAAGAGGATACTGTCATGTGAAGGAGAAAGCTCTAGATCGCATTAAGTGGAGGAATTGTTTTGAAAGAGACTGTGGACCTGTCGTCTTGACAGATTACTGATGATGATGAGAAATACAATGTCTCATTGTTTGATGACCAGTAACAAACCAGTACATAATAATTATATGATTCTGAGTGTGGATTACCTGTGTTTTAAATTATTCATACTCCTCCATTATTGTGGATAATCAAGAGTTCATAGTAAATGATATGTAGCACAGGTAAAACCATGACTTCTTCCTTGAAAAAGGAATTCCATAGAGCAGTCACAGAGCGAAATTTGCATACCGTTATAAGGAGTGAGCCACTGAATACAACCTTAGGGCTTCTACCACTCACAAGCAAACAATCGCAATTTCATATTAAAGCAGAGGTAGCATACTCTAATTCAGCTAAACTTTGAAATTATCTAATGGCCTACAAGATTATTCAGTAAATAATATGTAAAATTAATGAATCTTTCCTTTTGCAGATAATGTAGATATGAGGTGTGGTTGCAGTTTTGACAAAAGACCTTTGTAATGGCCATACAAGTAAAATGTAATGGTACTTACATTCTCTGCCAGTATGTATGCATATTCAGCTAATAACGATGTATTAATTATTCGCCATTTGTGCTTTGCCTTCTTGAAATGTGGATCTGGATACAAGAAGAATATCTTTTTCAGCTAAAAAAGAATTGTAATATTTAATAATGAAGCTCAAATAATACAACATTAAAATAAGAGCCATTCATGAGACCCAAAATTCACAAATGTTAATCAGCTAGACATATTATTCATTTTAATATGAATTAGAATACATATGAGATGGTAAAAATTTAGAATTAGTTTTCAAAGGGAAGTATTTGATCCTGAAAGTCTCAACAAATGAAAATAAAAGAGGTAGCATTATAATTTGTGTTCGGCATTAATGAGGACAGCGTTTTTATGTGACTGTCTACTCAACAGTTATATCAACGAACAAATCGAAACTGATGTAGCATCATTTGTTTATTTGGTAAAGACATGTTTCAACCCTCACAGGGTCATCATCAGACAAATGTGATATTTGTTACTGAATTGTTTCCTTAATATGGATCCATATTATTACAATATTTTTACATGTTTTGCTAATACACCCTTTTGTTAAAATATGATCTCTAAATGCACAGTTTCTTTCAAATTCAGCTTAAAAATTAAGATTAGATATATGGGTTGGATTAATATTAATATAATTTTAATCTTAAAATTAAGAATCTGAATTATATTTTGATTTTAAATTAGCTTAAAACTAGAGGTTTTTTCAGATTTGTCGGGTTTTTGTTATGGTCGTTTTGTTGTTGGATGGTAAGGTGTAGGTTGAAAACTTTTAGGGCCCTTCTAGGAATCTTTCTAGAGTCTATGTCACATTTGTTTACTTCTTTAGCATATCTGAAATCAAGTTATATGATGTTCATAAAAGCCTGCCTTGGGATGTTATCCTGAGACAAGCGAATCCAGTCCACACCTGCATGTCCTATTTTTCCAGAATTCACCTTCTTTCTCTGTCAAGTTTACCACCTATATGTGCTACATGTTCTGCTCATCCCATCTTCTTTGCTTTTCTCACTCCAACAATATATCATGAAGAATATGATGAAGATTATGGTCTTCTGGGATGTTATCCAGTGCAGCTTGGTACACAACCACCTGCATTCTAAAGAAAAATGCTACCACCTTCAGGGTAGAAAACCAAACTGCATGGATAAGACAGAAACAAGAGCTATGGGAGAATGAACACAAACCAGTGGCCCTGTAAAGTACAGTCTTGAAAGGGCAAATGACATGAGAGAAAGAATTATGAAGTGTGGCAGGAATGAAAGTGGGTAAAGGATAAGAAATAAGATAAAATATAAAATAAATAAAAGAAACTTCACAATTCTTTCAGATCCCTATACCTGAACCAGTTCCTCCCTTCTTACTCTTCTACCCTGAAGACAGAGGCAACTGTCTCCTCTGAACTGTTGTTAACCATTTACCAAACTGTGTGGCAACACATCCCAGAAGATCAAAATCACAATATTGAATGCCACAAAAGCATCACAAACTATGAGGTTACAAACATATAATTTTCTCCATCCTCCTGTTCCTTCACCTTCCTTAGATCCAAATTCTGTCCTCAGCACTACGCCTGCAAAATTTTAGTTCCATATAGTTCTGTATTTTAATCTTTAGTTTGTAGTTAGGCCATGGGAATGTAAAAAAATATTCTAACTTAATAGTGGCAAGGATTCCATTAATTTAATTTGTTCGCTTAATGATGAATATATTACTGTGTTAACAAACACTTGAACTCTGTCACATTATCAAGGATTCATTAAGTACACTTATATTAAGGGGCATGCAATAGCGTAGTTGGTTGAGGCACTATGCTACAAACCGGAAGGTCATGGGTCTGACTACCAATGAGGTCACTGGATTCTTCAATTGATCCAATCCTTCCAGCTGCATTATAGCCCTGGGGTTGACTCAGCCCCTAACCAAAATGAGTGCCAGGAATCTTCCTGGGAATAAAGGGCGGCCAGCACATAAGGCTGACAACCTCACTGCCATCTTTGTTCTGTCTAGAAAATGTGGGAGCCTTGACATCTCACAACCATATGGGCCTCCATGGCCTCTTACAGGATAGCTTTACCTTTTTGACATATATTTTATAATTTTAACTTGAATTCTGATATTGCATGTAAACATATGCTTATTTTTTTCTGCATTTATTCCTTAGGACTCTTGAAGATGCTAACATCCTATCAGAGGATTTGAAGAAAAGCAATCATTCACTGTTTTAATAATTACCTCTATGTACATGTGCATTGAATGTTCATACGCATAAACATTAAACATACCTGTCCTTTATTAAAATAATTTGGAAGATACTTCATAGCATTGGTACGCAGACAGGCAATGTTCTCATATTTTCCAGGATGCTGAGATCTAAGAGCAGCAATACGGTGTATTACATAGTTAGATACTTTTACTCTGATCTCCATTCCAAGAATGAGGCTTTCAGGAAATACTGGTGACAGTGTAACTGCAATATAAATCATCGCATTCCAGCAACAATGTAGTACAAGAATATCTAATATGAAAACTATTCACACTGAGAATCAAAATAGGTCCACTCATATACAAAGGCAAATCAAAAAGTCTTTGCCCCTAATTTTTTCAGCCACAATAATATACTGTAACGTGTTTTGCCACTGAAGACACCGTTCAGATTGCTAATTGGTTTATTTAACAACCTACAAGTCATAGCTACAATTAATTATGACAATGTTGCGGGTTTACCCAATTTATAAACCCTACACAATAATCTATTCACTCTGTCTTCAGTAGTCTTCACGTATTAATAACGCAGGAGCTATACAAGTCTCTCTTAATTACACACTCCCAACATAACTGTACTATAATAGTACACAATCTTGAAGCCACACAATAAGTTTTCACTTGCTGACTTCTAAGTTATCGCACACTATCACATAAGATCTTCTAGCCACGCGTTCGGGTCTTCTTTCCATGACTGCTGCTATATTTCAACTGTCTTCGGCAGCTACTGCATTTTAACTGACTCCTTAGTCAAAGTCAAAGTCACATTGCGAATGACGGTCGGTCAGTCAGTCAGTAAGTCTTTGTGTCGAGCCCCATCTGGGGCTCACGACCAGATATTAATTATTACCGTTCGACAGTTATGGTCTTAATTTTGTGGGGCACACTCCAATGAGAAGACGGGTCTTTATTTTGCATATGCTGCTGGCGTTTGCCAGCGTGGTCTTTCTCGGGTCCAAGTCCCTTTGGCTCACGTCCATATTTTACTGTCTCAGATTTGAGACTTCCCTTTTCGTTGCCTCCTACGACTTGCAGGGTCACGGTGGAGGTATTCAACCCCACCTCCACATGGCAGTGTAGTTCTCTTATAAACCCTAAGCCAGACAACAGGAAAACGCCTCACTTCCTTGTTGCCTAGTCGCCATGTTTACAGGTGTTGCTGGGAATGCAATCGAGAGTTGTTTATTGCTGCATCGCAACCATGGCATCCCCCGCTATGTCACTGTTGTCACCTGCCACGTCACAGTGGAAAGCGCTGCCACATCACCACGGGGAAGGGGGCGGAGCACTGACTAACCCATCACTGTAGCAGGTCTGGACTGTGCGGTGCATGCTCCATAACCTCCCATCCAAATGACTGCAGTCAGGCGGCGGTCCTGTTTGCCGCATGAGGCCTGGCGTTGTCATGGAGGAGAACCACATTGTCCACGAGAATCCCCAGGCGTGACTGCGGTCATTTGGATGGGAGATAATGGAGCATGCACCATATGGTCCAGACCTTGCCCCCAATGATTACATGTTCGGTCCACTGAAGAAATTCCTGGCAGGCCAGAGGTTCATTTCTGACGACACAAAAACTGCTGTCCGGGGGTAGTTCTGCACTCAACCAGCCGAATTCTACAACAGCGGAATCTCCAAACTAGTAATGTGATGGGACAAATGCCTGAACCAGGGTGGTGACTATGTGGAAAAATAGTCAAAGGTACTTAGAACACTGCCTGTATTTTGATTTCCCTGTATGTGTATTATTGAGGCTAAAAGAAAACTGGGGCAAAGAGTTTTCAATTTGCCCTCATATGTAAAGAATATATATATATATATATATATGCCTTTCCAATGACTGGCAGCATTAATAACAAGCATACCAAGATAAGTGAAGACATATGATAAAAGACTGCTTACAATAATGGAAATTGGTCTAAACAGAAACCATTGCAATGTACCTAACTCAATAACATTCACTGAATATGGATTTCATTTACAGTTAGTAGGTATAACCCAAGACATTTTAATTTTTAACTGTACTCATTTTTATTTACAGTTACCTGATCTAAGTATTGCACAAAAGAAGGCCTAAGCAGAGAAAGTGAAGTCATAAGATCTTCTGAAATCATCATTCAAATTATCCTCACGTGTATAAAATTTGGTCCTGTATGTGAATCAAGATCATGCATGGATTTTGTTCACATACTTCAAGATCACTTACATAAAATATGTGCAAGGACATTGCACATACTTTCTCATGTACAAATGACCTTCGATATGTTACCTTGGAAATGAAATTGACTGATGCACAGTAGAATGCTGTTGGTTGAAGAGTACCAAACAAAAATGAAATCAGTCTGACTGATATAGCAGGGTTTCAAGAAAACTGATATCTGATGTTTGGATCCCTAGTGCACATATCACTGTTTTCCTTGAAGACACTACCTATGCAGTTATATTTAAGGATATGGTCTCCACAGATCATTGAAATTTAATCAGAAGTGTAAGAGCAACTTTCAAGAAAATCGGAATTTTGTTTTTGTGGGCTTGTGTGAAGGGACACTAAATTTTAGATTCACCAGGTACTGACCTAGAATGGATAAATTCTTGAACACTGAATATGTATAAAATCCATCCAGCTGTTCAGACACTGGTGATATGCACACAAATATATTCATACAGACACAGGGAGAGAGAACACAAAAAGCATTGAAATTATGTAAATTCATTAAAAGTATAAGATAATAGTTTTCATAATCACGATACTATCAACTATGTATAAAAGAAAGAGAAAAAGTATACAACTCTGCGTTTACTTCAAGACCAACCTCTTTACTTGCATCAAATAAAGTTTGTGTGTTTTTCTTTAAGATATCTACAGTATCACCCAGTAGATTCACATCATCGGCACAGGCCAATAGCTGATGTGTCCCGTTTAATTTCAGTCCCACCTGGTTTTTTTGGGCCTTCCTAATGGCATATTCTAAAGCAAAGTTGAAAAGGAGTGGCGATAAAGCATCTCCTTGTTTTAGACCATTCTGGATAGGAAATTTATCAGACAGATGTTTACCTATACAGACTTTACCATATGTTTCGTTTAAACACATTTTAATCAGCCTAACCAGTTTCATGGGTATTCCAAATTTATCAGAATACAGAGTGGGTAATGTTCAGTCTAATGTGACATACAAGTTCACAATATATAGAAAACCCACAGCAACAGACATAACAAGAAATAATAAATCTTGCCATCCTAGAGAACAAAAAATAGCAGCATATAAAAACTGGATATATAGACTACTCATATTACCTCTTGAGGAAACGGCTAAAAACAAAGAGTTAAACACCATCATTAATACTGCACTAAACAACGGATATAAAAAGGATAATATCACACAAATATATAATAAACTAAAACAAAAAACAAGTAACCCTAAAGACAAAGGTAAAAATGACCAAAAATGGGTAACCTACACATACACAGGAAACTCCATATGGAAAATTATAAAACTATTTAAAAACACTAATATTAAGATAGCATTTAAAACAAACCACACAATAGGCAGAGCACTACAAGAAAAACACAACACAAACCCATACGAGCAAAGTGGTATTTACAAATTAACTTGCCAAAGTTGCCATCAAGTATACATAGGCCAAACAGGAAGGAAATTATCAACACGATATAGTGAACACATAAGGAACATAAAATTAAATAGAGATGAATCCGCTTACGCCCAACACATACTAAACAATCGTCATCAATAAGGACCAATATCAACGGTCACAGAAATCATCGAAAAAGCTAATAAGGGTAATATAATGAACATAAAAGAGGAATTCCAAATATACTACTACAACAAACACACCAAATTGATAGATAAACAGAAACAAACAAGGGAAACAAACAATCAAAACAACATGTCTGACCTTATTATACATCACTTGAACACACCCTCTTCAACGTCATAAACACAGGAAGAATATAATACAAGACACAGCACTATTCAAAACAGTACAAACGACACAGCACGCACATAAACTACACTACTAATAACAAGGTAAGCCCTAACTAGACACGTTAATAAACCTAAAAGCGTTATATATAAGTATATAAGATAGAATAAAATAAAAATTAACATAATAATATATTTACAGAACATAAAATCAAGAGAAATAAATGACATCTCCCAACATCAGGAGGAAAACAACATGACCCAGTGTTGACTCAAAGATATTTTAACATAATAACAAATTTTTACATGAAAATTTTAATACAATTTTAAATGCATTGGGAGACAACTGTATGGAAAAGTGAACTTCATATTGCGTGCAGTGGAAAACCCCAGTCAGAATAACCAGCAATTACACTTAACAGAAACATCATCATAAGTAAATCTACACTTCAAGAAGCGCCATTGTGAGTGCCTAAGACAAACATCAAAACCAATCGCTATAATAACAAAATTTATATGGTGAGCATTATTCATAGCTTAAGTGCATATTGTTTAAAATATCTTATGTGGCAGTGTTTCCTTATCGTAGTGGTGCGCCTCTGAGGATGATTCTTTTGAATCAAAACATGTAAGGTGAGCGAGGATTGAAGTGTTGTGAACCTAATGTCACATTAGACTGAACATTACCCACTCTGTAATTAATAGTGTGATGGACCAGAATGAGACAAATCTATCAGAATACTGTACAATACTTTCCTGAAGTCTACAAGGCTCGTCCACAAAGTAAGTTTCCCTCGGGCCGTTTACAGAAACAAAACACAATTTCATGGAAATATTTATTGCAACAGATACAGCAAGTGTTCAGCTATTTTTCAACATAATCGCCAGCAGAATTGAGACATCTCTCATACCGTGGAACCAACTTTTGAATACCTGTATTATAGAAGTCTGCCGCCTGAGATTGGAACCACTGTGTGACAACCATCTCCGCCTCTCTGTCATTCTCAAAATGCTGATGCTCACCAGACAGGAATTTCTTGAGGTGTAGGAAAAGATGGAAATCACTGGGAGCGAGGTCTGGGCTGTAGGGTGGATGATTAAACACCTCCCAGCTGAACTCCTGCAGGAGACTTGCTGTCCATCGAGCTGTGTGCGGCCTTGCGTTATCATGCAGGAAGACAATACTGGCACTAAGCATCCCGCGCCGCTTGTTCTGAATGGTCCGTCGCAATTTCTCAGTGTTTCATAGTAACGCTCAGCATGCACCGTCTCACCTCTGGTCAGGAATCAATGTGTCCCACAATACTGTGCACATTACTTTCCGCGCCGACAATGTCTGCTTGAATTTTGTCTTACACAAAGATCCACTGTGACGCCAATGCATTGACCTGCTTGGTTTCTGGGGTAAAGTGTGCAATCCACGTTTCATCATCTGTGATGATCCGGTCCAGAAACTCATCACCGTCATCACGGTACCACTGCAGAAAGGTAAATGCAGACTCCATGCACTTTGTTTTGTGTTCTGGTGTCAGTTGCTTCGGCACCCACCTGGGGCACAATTTCCTGAACAACAGGTGCTCCATGACAATTTCGTGCAACAAGGTGCAGGAAATCTGTGGGACATGACTGCTGAGTTCCGCAATTGTGACACGACGATTCTCCATAACGTGTTCCCGCACAAGCTCCACCAGGTCGTCTGTAATGATGGATGGCTGCCCACTGCGCTTCTCATCATGCACACTTTGTCGACCCGCTGAAAATTGTCTGCACCAGCCACGCACCATCTGCTTGCGCATGACGTTAGGCCCCTAGACCCGGCACAGCTGACAATGAATTTTGATCGGCGCTATGCTCTGTGCATTCAAAAACTTTATCACTGACCGCACTTCACAGTCGGCGGGAGTTGGAATAAGAGCCTCCATCTTCAACAGCTGCAACGATGCTACTGTGGGAACGCGGGAAATTCCATTTGTGCATGCGCCATGTTACATCATTGCTCTATCACGTATGCGCAGTCACTTCACGCAACATAAGGTTTGCTAGCTGTGGAATGAGTGGGAAACTTACTTTGTGGACGTGCTATGTATGAATAGCTGATGTACTGTCTCATTATACTCCCATTTTTTCTCCAATATCTGACGAATGCAAAAGGTCTGATCTGTAGTTGATCTGTTATGTTGAAGTCCACATTGATGATTCCCAATAATTTCATTTATATGTGGGCTTAACCTTGAGAGAAGAATATTGGATAAAATTTTGTATGAAGTTGATAGCAGTGATATCACCCAATAATTACTACAGTTAGTTTTATCACCCTTCTTGTGAACTAGTACAATAATAGACTCCTTCCACTGGTCAGGCAATTTTTCCCTAAGCCAAATAGAAGTAATTAACATATGGATCTTAGAATGTAATATTTCACCTCCTGCTTGAATAAGTTCTCCTGAAATCTGATCACTACCTAGCGATTTATACCGTTTCAATTTTGCAATAGCACTTTCAACCTCAAAAGGGCTAGGATCAGGTACTAATGGCTCAGCTGTATGGATTTCTGTCTGCCTAACATCACTCACCCTACGTACATTCAATAACTGAGAGAAGTAGTTCCTCCACCTATTGACACATAAATAAGTAATACAACATTAATTCATAGTACTGGCACTTACCAAGCAAACCACCATAGCCACACCCTATATCTGCAAATTCAACTGATTTTGTCTGTGCTGTGGTTCCAACAGATTTTGCCCTCGTGAAGTAATTTGGATACAATGTAGACCAATCCATGTCTTTTGGAGTTCGTGGACTGTAAAATGTACAGCATCTAAGTGAAATTCACAATTTTATGGTTCAGTTATTACATTATTTTGTGTTTTAACGCATCTGTACAAAATCATCTCAACATCTTTACATTGACAGCTAACTTAATTCCAATAACAGGAGGTTTGAGCCCCTTTCACTCTTATGACACTGGACTCACCACACAGCCATATTCGAACTCCTTATTCAATATGCAGATTCACGAATTTATTTGGACATCTGATAAAAAGATACAGAATTAGATATTTTGAGAGCCAGGAGACAGCATTAAAATATACTTTCTGTCTGATTTTTCAGAGTAGTGGACATTGATACCAATCACTATTTGGCAGTGGCAGAAGTTAGGGTCAGACTTGCAATAAGTAAATGAGCAATGCAAAAATTTGACATGAAGAGATTTCTTTAGTATTCCATCACCACAATATGAAGTATGGGCACATCATAAATTCGTTGTTTCTTACATGTTTTGGCTCACTGAGACATCATCAGGATTTAACTGACATTCACCAGTATTCATCAGCTAGTACTCCTACATTAACCAGTGTTAATACTGGTTTCCTTAGTACAGTGAGTTCTTAACTTAGTTGACTGGTTCACGATTCAGCAATTCATGGCAACTGGTACACTGCTGGGCATGAGGTACATACAGAGTTTGCTGATGAATCAGTACGCCTGATGGCTGATAATGTTTGGAACGAAAGGAATTAACTTGTGGACCACTTGACAGTATTGTTTCACGGCAGACTTTTCTAGAAGGACTTTTTTATTTATTTATTTATTTCGTCTCTATAGATCATTGTTACATGATATAGGACAAGTCAGTTGCTGTACATTGGCGGATTACAATAAGAGAGTAAAGTTACAATATTTGCAATTGTTTACAATAGATTACAGTAGTTTACAATAGTTGGACATTGACTCTGATCATTACTTAATAATATCAAAGGTTAGAAGTCGAATATCTAATGCAAGGAAGATACATGGATCCCAGGCTAAGAAATTGAATTGTGGAAAACTGGTGGAATAAGGAGTTGCAACCAGATATACTGGATTAATTGGTGAATGCCTGGCAGCTCTCTCTGATAGTGAAGATGTCAGTGAAGCTTGGAGGGGCCTCAGAGATGTTATTATAAATGCTGCTGGTGCAGTCTTAGGCAGAATGGAAAGCATAAAGTACAAGAATTGGTTTGATGGAGAGTGTGAGCAAGTGACAAATAAAAAAAACAGGCATATAAGAGAATGCAGCAAAGGAACCATACTTGAGGGGCTGTGGAAGAATACCATGAAGCGAGAAGAAAAGAAAAAAGATTGCATAAAAAGAAGAAAAGGGAATATGATAAACAAAAACTGATTGAACTGGAGCATTTAAGAAGTTCAAACGAAATTAGAGCGTTTTATCGAAAACTAAACAAGAGTCGAAAGGACTTTCAACCTAGAACAACCTTATGTAGAGATAAAGAAGGCACAATATTGAGTAGCGATGAAGCAATACTGGAAAGATGGGCGCAATATTTTGAGGAATTATTAAATAGTAACACCTCTGAACAAGTGGAAGGTATGACCATAGACCGGACTCAAGGAAATTTTGAGGCTGAAGAGCCAGCATCACCCATAAAAGAAGCAGAACAAGCTATCAAAAAATTGAAAAATAATAAAGCGCCAGGAATGGATCTCATCACGGCAGAATTAGTGAAATTTGTAGGCCCAGAATATGCCAAGCACTTACATCAGCTAATAGTTAAGATATGGATAACTGAAATAATCCCAGAGGAATTGAACCTAGGTGTTCTATGCCCTATCCATAAGAAAGACGATGTCATGGTATGCTCTAACTATAGAGGAATTAGTCTGCTGTGCATAGCATATAAAATATTTTCCAACATTCTATTTAACAGACTCTCTCCCTTTGTGGAAGGCATAACTGGGGATTACCAATGTGGGTTTCATCAAGAAAGATCAACTAACGATCAGATTTTCACTGTTCGACAGGTCCTTGAAAAGTGTAATGAATTCCAAATTGAAACACATCATCTTTTCATTGACTTCCGATCAGCCTATGACTCCATAGATAGAGATAGTCTTTTTTCTGGCAATGGAAGAGATGCACATTCCATGGTAGTTAATTGCCTTAGTCAGAGCCACTATGAGAAAGACCCAATGCCAAATTAAGATTCAAAATATGTTGTCCAGCCCTATAATAACTAGAAATGGAGTTTGACAAGGGGATTCCCTAGCCTGCCTTTTGTTCAATATAGCATTAGAGAAGGCAGTCAGAGATGCAGGCATCAACACAAGGGGAACTATATTGTACAAGTCAGTTCAAATTTTGGCATTTGCAGATGATATTGATATAATTGGTAGAACACAAAAATCTATGAAAGAAGCTTTTCTTAATTTGAAAAGAGCAGCAAGAAAGATGAATCTACAAATTAACCAAAATAAAACAAAGTACATGCCAGTAACCAAGAAAGACTGTGCTAATGTACCTACATATATTGAAATTGGTGCTTATAAATTTGAGGTTGTATGCAGTTTCACTTACTTTGGATCAGAAGTTAACTATAAAAATGATATCAGTGATGATATAAAAAAGCGTCTACTTGCAGCAAATAAATTTCTCCATGGCCTTAGGAAACACCTGAAATCCCAATTAATACCCATGAAACCTAAACTATGATGTATAAAGTACTTATAAGATCAGTGCTATCTTATGCCTCTGAGACCTGGCCACTGTCAGGATCGGATGAAAGACTGTTAAGTATATTTGAAAGGAGGATCTTGAGATATATCTTTGGACCAGTGGAAGAAAATGGAATATGGAGGAAGAGGTATTACCATGAGCTATACACACTATTTAATGAAACAGGCATTGTTGGATTTAGAAAGGTGTAAAGGCTTGAATGGGCTGGACACGTAATGTGTGCCAGCGAGAATAGAACCATCAAAAAAATGTTTAACACCAAACCAGAAGGAAATAGGAGAGTGGGAAGACCATGGTTAAGATGGGAAGAATGTGTGGCAGGACATAGGAATTTTGGATTTAAAGAACTGGAGGAATGTAGCATCGAATAGAGATGAATGGCGAGCAATCCTGAGGAAGGCCAGGGCTCACAAAGGGCTGTCGTGCCAGTGATGATGATGATGAATAGTTGGAGTTCGCATAGTGTGAGGTGGAATCCATATTACGTCCCTTCGGCACGTCGGCCTCCATATGTCCTGTTGTACCTGTACTGATGATTATGCTTATGGAGAACTTGATGGAATGAGGACTGGCAGGGGATACCAAAGTACTCGGAGAAAACCTGCCCCAGCGCCACTTTGTCGATCACAAATCCCACTTGACTAGACGGTAGCGGTGGCTAGCCAGCGACTAACCGCTTAAGCTATGGCGCGGCCTTAGAGATAATATTGGTGAATTGTTCCAGGCAGTATCGTGAGACCTTTTCCCATAGCCAGAGCGGCCAAAGCGTTAATACAGTCTCTTAACTTCCACTACTGCCGGGATTAAGAATACATTAGCATGAAAAAACTGTACTGGCTTTTACATTTTAGGTTATGTGTCAACTTACTACTTTATGCAATGATCTGCGATAGGATTTGAATGCGCACGCTGTCTGTAGTGCTTCTTTTGCGGAAGAGGAACAGGATTTGCCATTTTACTTATGCGAATATATTTTTCTTACGAAATATTAATTCTACACGGACAACATACGCTACCGTCCACCATCTTCGTTTCATTGAATTGTGTGCTCTCAAGGCTCTCTAGCGCCCTCTAGCGCTAGTAGTCGCGAACTGAGGACAAGTGATGCATGTAGCAGATGGACTAGTGAGAAAGAAGTTTTGACGGTTTTGACTTTTTGTTACTTGGAATTTTAGTTATCCAGCTCTGTGATATGTATGAATACGGTGTGGAAAGTAAATGCTGGTGTTTGGTTTGTTGTAGAGTACATAACACTGTAGAAAGACTTCGTATTACTAGAAGTGCACCTTTTCTGCAAGTCGGCTGATTACCTTTTGACGCTTTGTTGTAGAAGGTAATTCACAGGGAAACCATAGTCTTTTTCAGTTCTAGGTTAATTTCATATGCCACATCCTTTAAACGTAGGCTGATAAATGATTTTGTTGGGCAAAGATCGTTACGTAATGAGTTCTGAGATTTTTGTTGCAGTGATTGTTCAGATTGCTTTCCTCTGCCTTGTGACACCGTGTAGTCTAATAGATGAATACTGACATCCTCGGAAACGGCGCTAACCCCCCACAAAAAGTACAACGTCACAACGCAGAAGGCCATACTCTGGACGTTACTTAATTTGATAATGAGAATATTAAGTACTAAACAGTACAAAACTGGTATAAGTATTTATACTTGTGCATGATTTAGTCCCCTCAGCATTTTAGAGCATTAAATTTTTCTTTTTATAAAATTCGCTTAGTGGGGTGTGGAGTCAAACTGGGTCTACTCGGCACAGCGGCCACTGATTGGCCTATTGTAGCCTGCCCCCGGTGATTTTCATGATGGAGAATTTGGTGGAATGAAGATTGGCAGGGGAAACCGAAGTATTTGGAGAAAACCCGCCCCAGCGCCACTTTGTCCACCACAAATCCCACTTCACCAAACCCGGGCCGCCGCTGTGGGAAGCCAGCGACTAACTGCTTGAGCTATGGCGCGGCCATTTTATAGCGTTAGTGCAGCAGTATATAGGTGTAAAACCACACATGGTCTCATCTACATATATGTATATAAAATATGACCAAGGAAATGTTTGGGATGTAAATTTTAATAGGGAATAAAAGTGAGGAAGGAAGTTAAAAGAAGGATGTTTTATTATACAGGTTCACAAATCAGATCTTACGTTGTGCGTTCAAGTTCTAAGGTCTCCGATTTTTTTTCTCACACAATAACCATACAAACAATTTGAAACTTCTGTCACTTTTCAACGTAATCTCCCTACAGCCATACACATTTTTCACAACGTCGACAGCTTGATTCCATGGCCGCTATGAACGCTTCTGTAGAAGTCTGTTTTGACCACTGGAAAATCGCGCTTTGTTTCAGGATTGAAAAACGGCATCCATGTCTCATCCATTGTCACAACTGATGAAAACAAAGTCCCATTCATGCCTTCATCACGTGTCAACATCGCCTGGCAAATTGCCATGCACAGCCTTGTGGTTGTCCACCAGCATTTGTGGCACCCACCTGGAGGACATTCGCAGGTCTTCATGCAGGATTGTGTGCACAGATCCCACGGAAATGCCAACTTTGGAGGCAATGTTTTCCACACTCAATCGGCGATCCTCCAAAACAACTTTTTCAACTCGGTCGAACAAGTTGTCAGACCAGCTGGTGCAAGGCCGAGCTTGTTTTGATTCGTTGTCACACAACATTCGGCCTTCTTTGAACTGTCACACCCACAAACGTACATTTTTCACATTCATGACACCATCACCACATGTCTCACTCAACTGGCGATGAATTTCAATGCGTGTCACGCCACGCAAGTGGAGAAAACGAATGATTACTCGCTGTTATTGTAACGAAAACGTCGCCGTTTTAAGTATCAAAAACACTGCTCACTCTCGCTGCCACCACTAGAGTTCTGTGTGCTGTACAGTGCTGCCATCTCTGTCACGCATTCACAAAGAGTGCACACATATTTTAAACTAAACCACATATGTCTATCTGCTCCCAGTCCTGAGAAAAAAAATCGGAGACCTTAGAACTTGAACGCCTCTCGTATTTTGATATTAACATTAACTTCTCCACTGTCAAAAATTCTTTAGTTAGTAAATTGTGTCAGTTTTTAACTCATTCCAGTTCTTACTAACTCCATTAACCTTATATTTCAGGACATGTGTTTGATCTCATAAACCTGTGAATGCTGTGTGAGATTTGAGATTCTCATGGCACTGACTATGAAGAATACTATCTTCTAGGATGTTAATGCCATATAGACTGGTAGAAGTTTGCAGACATTTTGGAGGAACATGCTGTCTCTGTCTTCAGGGTAGAAGATTAAGCCAAACATGGAAAGAATCAGTATGGATATAGGCCAAGATGGGAGTCATGAGGGAACCAATAGGAGTAAAGAGAAGAGTGAAAGAATCAAGGCTGTGAAATAGATCATTTTTGCAGGAGTAAAGACATGGAGAGATAATTTTTCTGATTTACCAATGGGAGATGCTAACAGGACCTGAGGTACAGCATGAATGCGAATGAAAAGAAGAACCAGAAGAGAGAGGAAGCCCTAACATGGGTGGCATGAAGAAGAAGAAGACACTACCAAAAGCTGAAGGCAGAGTATGCATGCTACCAGACTGCGTGACGTCACATCCTAGAAGACAGCATTCTTGTCAGAATACTATCCTTTATGTGATGTTTGTGAAAACTTAGTTTAGATTTGCCATTTATCCTGAGTGTTTATACTGTGCACATCTTGATGAGTGAAAATTGTTGGTAAATGGGATTAAAGATTCAGGAGTGCTGTGCTGGTAGACAGTTCACATCATAACAAGTCACTGTGACTAAATCTTCATACATCATCTTAAAAAAATATTTATGATAAAAATGTTTTGTTATATCTTCATCTGTTATATATTCTCAGCATAATAAAAATACTATAAATGAAATATTTATGTACCTTGAGAGTCTGGGACTTTTGTTATGCAAAAGTCATGAAATGAACACAGGGGAGGTGGTGCCTGTCCATATGTCTGCATGTTTCATCTCTGCAACAAATGAATGGATGTCATATGGGTGATTTCCATGAATAGTTTTCAGACAAATTTAATTTTGGTTTTTATTAATCCCGATGCTTCACATGATGCAGAAATCAAACTTTTTTATTATTTCAAAAACTGCTCATGCACAAAAATTTTATTTATATCATAAATGTAATGTCACCGAGATCTAGAAATTTGATTTGAAACATCAGAGTGGTTCATGTTTAATAAGTATAAGAACAGATAAGTTATGACTATGCAGTGTGATATTTATATCCACAATAAATGAATGGTATACAAGGATTGCAGAATATAAAAAAATGCATAAAAAATATGAGTACTCCATTGGAGTATAGGGTTCTATTCTTATTGCAGTCATTTCTTATAAAAGATTTCCCATAAAATGTTTATCATGTGTATGGTCTTAAAAAGCGATGATGAATAAAAATCACAAGGTTTTAAGTCACATGATTATGTCACGACCTTGTAACCAGTTTATGATTTGTTTCTTCAGCTAAATTTTTTGTTTGAGCAATTCATATATGTACTTACATGTTTAGCATGGTCAGAATTAACTTGTACTGGTTATGTGTCCAAATGCTGAGACATGGGTAAATGCTAAAATTGTACATGGTAGCAGTGTTATCTTGATGACTGAACAAGTCAGTGCTGGACCGTAAGGGGTGCTTGGGTGTTATCACTGTAAGACGTGATATGCTTATAATCATAGTTACAGGGATCAGATTCACAGGCCAGGAATACTGACAGACACATCTTATTTTTCTTAAACCTTCAAGGTGAATGTTTATATAATCCTATCAGTGGAATCATATAATCATATTGGCATACTTGTTTAAGTTGTGAGAACATCCCACATTGCACGCTGTTTCACCGGTCTTTCAGACAACACTCACTCCTAAGTGAATATCATATTGTCGGACATTGCGCTCATATTTATACAGCACTCGCTGTCCAGCACAACTTCGCATCATCGCTGGCCAATCAGCGCTCACAATCGCAACTGCAAGTTTCACTCCGCCCAGGCTTCTATTTGACCACTAGGGCTTGCCTTACCAATATCAAGCAGTGGTCAACCAGTCAATCAACATACTGCGATTCCACTTGCCCTGTTATCACATCTCCATCTTGCTAGTCCATGAAAATGTTCCCCGTGCTCATTATTAACAACACCCATGTTTGCTGGAAGAAGTCAAGATATGAGTCCAGAAAATGAATTTTTAGTGACATTTTGCAGCCAGTGAATTAAATATATTAGATTTACTGAGAAAAATGGGGTGAGTAGCTGATAAATCAAAGGCATCATGTAAGCTATAACAAAACTGGATAACTATGGACATGCCATAAATAAAAATATGCAAGCAGTGACACATATCAACTTGCAAACCAGAGGAGTAGAGAGTGGTAGACCTTTACTTCTTCCTATTGTAATGTAAGTCCTAAATAATCATAATCCTTGTATATCGTTCAGAGACTGTGAGTGATGGAGGAATTCTGTTTTCAGTTTTCGAATACAAGATCAGCTAAAATATCTGTGTGACAAAAACCTTGTTGAAGAATTGATCTGCAATGAAGTTAAAAAAAAAGCTGCATGCAGCTTGCAAGCCACAGTTTGGCCATATCAGATATATACAGTACATTCTTATAATTTAACCTAGTAGAGCACATTATATTAAATATCCTCGGGTGCAGTGTGTATAAAGGACATTTAAATTAACTAATCTTTTGACATAAAATGTGCCATTAATTTAAATGATGCAGCAGAGGATTACATTTTTCTGTTATTTAAAATTTGGTATGTAAGGGTTTTTTCAGTTCAGTAATTAAATTCGTTGTTCCTTCAGGGAGACCACCTCTGTGGTCTAGCAGTCAGAGTTCTTGACTACAGATCCAGAGGTCCCGGGTTCGATTCCCAGCACTACCAGATTTTCTGAGAAGTAGTGGGCCTGGAATGGGGTCCACTCAGCCTCGTGAGGATAACTGAGGAGCTACTTCAAGGAAATAGCGGCTCCGGTCTAGGAAACCGAGATTAATGACGATGGGGATCTGTTGCACTGACCACGCAACACCCTTTATCTCCAAAAGTTGGCACTAACTTCGCTGACAAGTGCTGGTCGCTCGGTCAGTATAATTCGCTTGCGGACTAAAACCACAAAGTTTGTTTGTTTGTTTTTTTGTTCTTTCAGGGAACTGCTAAGTGGAGACTTTGCTATACTGTATATGAATAGTGGTACAGCTGTCAGTTTCACAGTACAGTTTGTGAATATGTGACATATGTTTGATTTATCAGTTTTCAAGCCTACATTATGATTTTGCATACTAAACCAGAAATTTTACTTCTTGATTTGTCTGTTTTTTAAGGCTGCGTTTTAGTTTATATGTCATTTGCCACTTAAGTTACTGCCAGGTCTGTAAGGCTTACAGCAAAATATTGGGACATTAAATTAAATTCTGTTATTATTGTTACTTGTTCTGTTTCCTTTTATCCATTTAATACCAGTGGACATGTCAAATTTGCCATGTATGGTTATAGTTGCTCATTTTATTAAATGGCTTTCTTCTCATATTGAGTTGATTACTGATACCTGGAAAATTAATTCTAATGCTTTGATCTACTTTAATGCTTATACAGTATGTACAGTTTGTCATTGAACTGGTTCCCACAGCTGACATGGCACACTTCTTGAATAGACTTGCTGCAGTATCCAATAATTTATCGCCTACATTTCTACTGTAGTTTAATATACTGTATTTTATAGAGGAGTCTCAAAGGGATCACCTCATTCTTCTAAGCATGTCTCTTGAAGGTCCTTCAAGGAGTGTTGATTGTTAATGCATTTTCTTTCAATATGCCCCACAATGCACCAGTTGCACACCAAACCCCATTTATCAAATCATGCAGTGGGACTTCATGAACAGTAGGATGATAATCTGTGCTCCAGTGTCTGTTATTTTGGCTGTTTGCATAACTATTTAAAGTGAACCATTCCTTGTCAAAATAAAATATAAGTTCTTGATCAAGAAGTCCATTAAATACTGATTCCTGAAACCCCTGCCAGTATCTAACTTTTGCTTCACAATCTGGAATCAAAAGTCTATGTACCCTTTAGTTTGTAAGGCCATAACTTTAGAAACTTTGTAACAGTGAGAACTCTGCATCTCACCACCATAAACTGAATAGTCAAAAGACATAATGACTTTTTCAGGCTTGATGGTAATTGAGTACTGATGCAATGAAATTTACTGCAGTTTGTAAATGTCTTTCTCTAGTATTCTGTTGCCTTATGTATTCTAAATTAGTACCTTCGCTTCACACTGTTCCTGTGCAGTGTTATTAATGTATTAAAATTCGCTCTTTAAAAGCATTTATCTCTTCCAATTATTCGAACGTTACATGTTTCAGCCCAACCAGCCATCATTAGCTGTACGAGTTGTACAGGGAACAGCTGCCCCATTGTTGCACTGCTACACTTTGCATTTTAAAGTTTTAAATACTTATATATATTTTTTTTAAATATCGTAACACTCTGCCCCACAAAAAATAAGATACAGACATCTATTCACAACATTGAAAAACAAAATGGCCTGCTTTTTCGTACAACAGAAAAGAAAGAAGAAAAAGCACAAAACTGTTGAAGGATGTACAAAAAGAATAACATTCAGAATGCAGAACACAGTAAAACATCACCCACGAACAGACAAATACAACAGAAGTGGCATATACCAAATTAAGTGCCTAGACTGCCCACTAAAATATTGTGACATGTTGCGCAAAGGAGAACTCCCCCCCCACCCCCCCACCAGCAGTGACACGGCGCTTCCCTCCCACCCCTCAGCGGTAACGTAACGCTCGCGTAATAGGCGAGTAATCACCCCGCATCCTGGCAGCTATGCGCGGTGACGTCACGAGCGGAGCCGAAGATAGCCGAGCCCCCGCAACCTGGTAACTATGCAAGGCGAGTCAACAGCGGTGACGTAACAGGATGACGTGACACTCATTACGTAACCGGCAAGCACTGCAGCTATATAAGTGAGCTGCACAGCTGGTACGAGTCAGTTCTAATGTGGCTACCAGAGAGTTCTACTGTAGCAGTCGGCGACTTCAGTTGTACTGAAGACATTTCCGAGTTGTACTGTGCCAGCCGCCGAGTTATAAAGTAATAGTCGCCGAGGGTGTTATCAACAGTTCTCCAGTCAGCAGACTACAGTTGGAGTATAGCAGCCGTCGCGGATAGAAGAACCGGACGTGTGTGTGATTGTGTAAGTGGGAGCGTGTGATACAGCGATACCTAGCTCCCCTACTGTCAACGTGTAGACTACTGAAGACAGAGTGAACTGATTTGCGCATAGGGTTATAAAGTGTGAAACCCCGCAACAGTGTTAACAGATTAATGCGATTAGGGTTATAAAGTGTGAAACCCCGCAACTGTGAGATAAGTAATTGTAGCCGTTATTTGAAGATTGTTAAATAAACCAATTAACCATCTCTACGGCGTCTTCAGTAACGAAACACGTTACAATATAAAGGGCAAACAGGCAGAACATTTCACAGGAGATACAAAGAACATGTACAAATAGTTAGAAACTTTGTATCATGTATAATGATCCATTGATATGAAGTAAATAAATAAATATAATAGTAGTTTGGTATGCTCAAGCCTCATATTAAACACAGGACATACATGCAGGACCATAACAGATGTAGTAGATATTGCAAGAACACAGAAAAAAGGAAAACATTTAAACACATCAGGAAAATGCTGCATATGCAAAATCATTAAATGTAACTTACACATGAATGACACAAACAATGATACACATAACCCAGAATTCAGAACATTACAGGAAATGAATACCAGTTAGGAGCATACTCTGTACCTCATATAGAAGCAGCACTAGCTACACACAGCACAAAAGAGAAACACACACACCAACAAAATGTAAGTAACATTACACCTACAGTGATAGAACAACAGTATATAAGGTAAAATATTCACTTGATAAACAAAACAGAAATATAATCCACCATTATATATTGCATATACAGCAGACCAACATCACATACAACAAAATAAGTATGGCATGGTATTTTAAATATGCCCTTAAAATGCAAATTGTAGCACCTTGACAATGGAGCAGCAGTTTCCTCTACAACTTGTAGACATGATGATGGTCAGTTGGGCTTAAAATATATAATATTTGAATAATAGGAAGAGATCAATGCTTTTGGAAGTGTGTGCACATGAATGCTGGGAAGTGCCAGTGCTAATTTAATCTTTTTCTAGATTTCTTTTTGTCTTGTACCATTCCTGTAGAACCTAACTTTGTTACAGTAGTGTAAATTGTTGCTTCACACAGCACTCTGTTGTGAGGATACTGCCTGTGAAGCTTTCCTTGGCATTTCCTCCATGAAGAATGCTGTGCAAAGGTGTCATATACGAATCGTTTCTGTGCAACACTATTTTCAAAACACTGTAAACTGTACTTGAACATTTCTCAAGGGCATCTAAGAATGCTAAATATCATCGCTATCATAATAAGCCAACCTGTGTTGAGTGAAGACATGACAGTTCCCTGGACAGTAATAGAGGGGTGTGGGCAAACAGATATCTAAATGGCCAGCCTAGGAAGAATTTGGATTCCCTATGCTTAGCCATTGTTGCTTACTATTCGCTGTAATCTTAGAAAGATAAGTCAAGGTAATTTGCATGGAAAATCACTAGTTAATTCCATTTCATGCAGGAAGCTTGCAATTTTTCAATTTCTTTACAGGTTTTGTTGAATATTACTGCAGCAGATTGCTGTATAGTTTTGACAGTAGCTATAGTTACTACGTGTGCATACATGGCTGTAAAAAGGTCAGTGACATGGTGACATTGACATTGTCCAGAGGCGAACATCTTTTCAGGGCGAACTTCGTAGATTTTTAAGGTAAGAAAAACATCTTACTGAAGACAGGACCTGTACTACATTTTACTAAAATGTTTTGAGCATTTACTTCAAATAAAAAAATTGATAATGTGGGGATTCAGCATGAAGGTTTCAATGTGAAGAAGTCCCTCGAACATTCATGGTACCAAATTAAGGAAAGTTATATCCTTTAGCTGCCAGACAGCAATAAAAGACTGGAATTTAAAATTTAGTCAGTGATATGTGTAACTTAGATGGCATGTTGACACTCACTATGTGATGATCTGTAACAGAAAATTGTCACTTACTCTGTGCACTATAGTCAGTTGAATGACTGAAAAGCCAAACTTGAAAATAAACATAATTTGGTATTAGTAAAAAAAAAAAGTAAAGCTATCCCTGTAACAGGTAATGGAGGCCCATGGGGTTGTGAGACGTTAAGGGCCTCACATTATCTAGACAGTCAGTTTGAATATGGCGGTAAGGTTGTCAGCCTTACACGCTGGTCGTGCTTTACTCCCCAGGAAAAGTATTTAATTACGTAATTTTGTATTGCTTTTCATAATACTATTGATTGGTGTGTCAAGGAATTTGCAGTCATATATTTTTAGTATGCTTTAAGCAAACACTTGGACGTGGTATTGTCTACTTAAATAGGTTGTTGTGGAGCTATATCTCCACTACCCCATGTGTCATCAAAGTGTTGTGCTTAATTAAGTGCAGGGATATTACCTTTATGATGCTGTTTTGGGATGTTACTCAGTATGCATGTTATGTAGAATAGTGGAAATGATGTATGTGAGTGCTTTACAGGTTACAGGAATGAAATAACTAGATTTCTTGAGAACTGTACACCATCTTATACCAAAAAATCGTTCAGGTAAAACTCTGCACCTTTCTGTTGCTGCGTCACAGCTGAAAGCATTCTGTGGACATGTAGGAAACAAACGTTTAAAGTACCTATAATATTGCAGGTGTGAAGTTATTGTATAATAATCTTCCATTATAAAATCTTTGTTTAATCCTGTGTCACTGTTTAGTTATATTCTAATGCCCCTACCCCCACAGACACCCATTTTTTTCCTCTGAAATTATATCTGAGGTATTGATGTCAACATACCTATGTCATTTATGTTATTACAGTTGTAATGTTGAATCTAGTCACTGTATACAGATGCAAATTATATAACTTGGATTAGGAAAGAATAAGCAGAACTGAAAAACATTTGTTTGTATGCATGTACAGGTTATTAAATAAAGAACTCGCCTTTGGCTCTGATAAGCATGTGAGTTAATAAGATCTAGAAGTTTGTGATGATGGTACATTAGTACAAATATTATGCTTTTGGACATTATCCATCATCCTGTCTCTATCTACATAAAAACACCGTCCTTTTTATATTTCAAAACACAACATTTCGTAGACTCCATCTTTAGGTGAAACTTACTCGGTTGGGCCCAATCTCCAGAGAATGGGACTAGCTCTGTCAATTGGCTGCGCCATAGCTCAGGCGGTTAGTTGATGGCTTCCCACCACGGCACCCAGGTTCGATCCCGGGTTTGGTCAAGTGGGATTCGTGGTGGACAAAGTGGCGCTGGGGCAGGTTTTATCTGAGTACTTCGGTTTCCCCTGCCAATCTTCATTCCACCAATTGCTCCACAATCACCCTCACCTATCATCTGGGGCTGCTACAATAGGCCAGAAGTGGCTGCAGTACAAGGGTCTTAGTCCCACCCCATTAGCATTAAAAAATGAAAAGAACTCTGTTTATTTGGCCCAACTGAGTAGGTTTTACCTGAAGACAGAGGCAGAATCCAGTCTCCAAAACATTGTGTTTTGAAATATAAAAAGGACAGTGCTTTTAGATAAAGACAGGACAATGGATAATGTCCAGAAGCATAATATTTGTACGAGAGTTAATGATGTTATATTTTATGGCATAACAGGAAACCCATCTGTGTTTATCTCAAAACAGAATTTTAAAATGTTTCTTTGGCAATTTGATTACACAGTTTATTTAAAATATGATTCATTACTGCTGAAAATATTTCCTACCTCAGTGCTGCAAGCCAGTGTTACCTGTGGTTAGTAGTGAGTTCTAGACAGTGACTTGAAATGTTCAAAGTTTTGTATCCAAGGTATGCCATCCACAAGTAGTACATAACACTTATTTAGCATTCTTCTTTATTTTGAAAAATTGTATTACGGATTTTAAAAATTCATAGTATTGCTTATAGGCAGCTGGTACCCAAGGTTGTCTACATGGTATACATCCTAGGATGCTACCAATTTATTGCTGTACCAATGGACTGGTGTAATTGATCTTGTATCATATCAACATTCAACAGAATGATTTATTGACCCAAACACAAAACACTGCATTTTATACCTTACTGAATATATGAACAAATGAATGTTCAAAGAACATGGTGGAAATGCTTTCCATTCTTCTGAATACGTGGATATATCCTCTTAGCCATGTCCTGTGAAACACATGTAAAATTTTCTGCCATGATGCCGCCAATGACATCAGTAATTACTTTTAGTTGTATGCTTATTTGATTGAATTTTCGCTATTATTATTATTATTATTATTATTATTATCATCATCTCTTGTCACAGGTTTATTTCCTGGTATTCCTTTTCTTGAACCAGTGATGCACCTCACTACTCAGGCTTCAATCTTCGCACTGTAGCACTTTCCATAGTATGTTTGATGTTCCCAGGATAGCTGTTTTTTGCAGTGAATCTATGGAGTGCTTACCAGGAATTAGTTCCAAATATTTTCTCAACCCTCTCATGACTGTACCCGTGGCTCCAATAATTACTGGTATCACAGAACATTTCATGTTCCGCATTCACTGAATTTCGATGCTTAAATTTTTATATTTTAATTTCTTCTCTGCTTCTTTTTGTACTACATTCCTGTCCAATGGTACTGATACATCTATAAGTATGCAAGTTTTCTTTTGCTTGTTTTTAATTATTATGTCTGGCCTGTTTGCCAGAACCTCTCTGTCTGTTTGTACGCCTTGGTTCCATAACACCGTTATATCCTCATGTTCACATACTGACTTAGGCACGTGTGAGTACCANGTTTCCAAATTTCAACCATCGATAGGTCTGTTCCTTATCCACCAGAGTGTCATCTAAGCTGCATGGGTATTGTTATTATTGTTATTATTATTGTTGTTGTTGTTGTTATAGTTATAGAAAATCCCGCAGTAAAATTGGCGGTGAATTTTATATTCCTGGATCTGTGTGTCCTTTTGAAGTGAGCCTTCAGAATATCCAGAGTTGCTCTTACCTTATAAATTTGTAGTGTCATCCTGCTGAATGCACCCGTCTGCCTTGGAAGTTCCAGTTATGAGTGGAACTGCACAATTATGGATTCATAACCCCATGATTCAGCAATGGTTCAAGAGTTGTAAAATGTAGTATTTTCTATCAAGGTATGGTTTTAGATGCATCACTCTGTGCACAATAAGGTTGTGTCTCTGGAACGCAAATAGTGTAGCTTGTGTTAGAGATGGTCTTTATCAAGGGAAGTTTACCCTTAGCAGTCTGTTCACATAATATCAGACGGCTAGTTTACACGTGACAAGAGTTTGGAATGACAACTGACTTTATGTTTCAGAACACACACAGAACATGTGAACTCCACATGTGATGCATGACTTATATACCTTCGTGTTGGAGCAGAAGGCATAAAGTTGTAGTTGCTTCTAAATCTGATTTACTTTTAAAAGACCCCTGTATTAGGTTTATTGTCTGCTGGCATTTTATATAAGCGTATATAGGTTTTATGTGCATTATACATTGATAATTCCAGGTTTTTTGGTGATATTAACAATAACAAATAAAGAATGGCATAAATTTTATATTTAAAACTTAGACGAGAAACTGCGGCCCTCCAGACAAAATAAACTGCACCTATAGGTGGAATTGTATGCATAAATAACTATTCAGGAATCTCATTATATGCAGGTAACTTAGTACTGTCTGACAGATTTGGATAAATGTCATTTCTTCTCCAGCCCACAGACTGACTTCAGACTTGACATGCGGATAAACAGGTTGAAACTGAATAGTTTTGCTTGATATGGAAGATCGAGTGTAAGGAAAGGATGTGCCGTAAGCATATATCACCGCTCAAATGATGCATTCCCACATATCCCTAATCTGGTGGAGAACTTTCTAAAACAGTATTTCTAAGGAACCAGTTTCAACTCTTCCATACGGAATGACCTGTTGGATCTCCTTACTTTACAAGCTTCTCTTGTGCGGTGGCGCTCCCTGAACACTCTTCTTATCGTGATATAACATGGCCAGTAGAATTAACTGTTGACTGAACTTTCATCTTGTTTACATTGAAGTTAAGTAAACCTGCTTTAAAACATTTTGATTTACATAATAATGTTTGTCCACGTGGTCAGCGACTGTAGTAATATTGTCGATGAAGTACATGATCTTTTGGTTTTTATGTAAACTAGCTTAAAGGTAGATTTCACTGTGAATGATTATTATCTAAAACGCTGATCATGTTGCCATCACTTGGTGGATGTAAGCGTTGCTTTCCTCGACCGCCTTCTTAATGGTTTATTTTCGCGTTGATTTTGATGATGTGTTCAATAAAAATGAATCTTGCCCATGCATGCATCCTTGTATGTAGCCTCCGTCTTGTATAACATCAACTCTGTTAGTACAAGTAATTAGCAAGTGAATCTGGCATGTACTGACCAAGAATGGCTAGATTGCCTTGGCATCCTGTTATTTTCATTTTGAATAAACACTATCTTAACAGAAGTTCGGTGTTATAAGAAGTCTGTTGCTATACACATGTTTTGGTGCATATGCTAACTGGAACCATTATTCCCCCATCTTTGAAACTTCAAAGTCTCAATTAAAGGACTTGTTTTGAACAGGCGTCGGGTTGGCCGATGGGTTGGTGTTACTCTATAGGTTCTTAAAGCTCACAGTCTTTTAGAAAGACGAGGTACGTAGATAGCATCCATCAGCC